TTGGGGAGCATGAGATGGAGCGAGTGCTTAGCCACACAGGACACAGGCTGTGAAGTAATCAGAAGAATACACTCGACGGCAACTGATGAACAACCGGGTGGAACAGGGATTGAATTTTTGACGAGCTAACGTGTAATTCGGGAGAGGGCAGGGGAGGTGGGGTGGAGATTTTCGTGTCATTTCACATGAAATCAAAGCTCCAAAAGTGCATTATGCCAGTGCGATAACGGGCTTACATGTGGAGGTCATCTTAAAGCTTTCCGGTCAGTACGGAAGCCAAGAAGCTTAAATATAGCCGATTATAGGAGAAAAAAAAACGGGATAATCCAAAATATGTAGTTAAGATGCGATAAGGTCGATCTTTCCAGCAATATTCAGGTTATTGGATGATTTTGGTTTTCTACAGCTTTTACTCTGGATACATTCGGATTTGTAAAATTTTCACAATTTTCACAAAAAATTTGATGAAAGTAGGTGTAGCAACTAGAATTTAAATAAACATCTTACTGTTGAAAATGACGTCTAAAAATTTTCTATCTTGCGTGAGGGTACACAAGGATAACGAAACCTTGGTAGGAGGGTCCTCAATAGGGTTCTTCAATCCCGCAATCCCGACTACAATTTTCTCTCAATCCCGTAATCCCGACGTTTTATACCGGCCAATCCCGATCCCGATCATACAATTTTGTCTAGGTCCATTTCCTAAACTTAAGAGGGCCTTTTCGGTGGGTGATGATTTTCTCAACCAGCATTGATCCGTTGAAGTCTATGGTCACCGTAAGGCGTAAGTTTATCTCTTTTCATCAAAATGATGATATCGTTCATTTTAGAAGTTTTCAAAGTTTTGCACGAATAACATACGCTAGTCAAGGTAACGACTTCCTTTCATTAAACTTCGGTCACGGACGAACGTATTGGTACAGGCAAAGAAAAAAATTACAACTTTAACAAGTGCATAAAACACAAAAGGTGACGGTAATTTTACAGTTCCATAACAAGGGAGATAGAGAAAAACTAACTGAACACAATTCTGCTTTTGAAGCAAACACTTCTTCCAAAGCGGGAACCTCTTCCGAGGAGAAGAATCAGCCACTTGCTCCAAAGATGGAATGTCATCATCATCACTCGGGGAATCGTACTCTAATATTCCATCTTCCTCTTCGTCTTGTTTCCCGCTATTTTCTTGCTGCTCCTCGAAGTCAGACCGTTCGAAGATGACCGGTTCGACCAGCTGAATCTCTCTCTCTCTGAGGTACGACGGGGAAGTTCCAGCTCTTGCCATCTTGTCATCGTTGTTTCCTGTCTGTCAGAGCGCTGACGCACTGCTGCAACAAATGTTTACGCCCAGACCCTCATCTTCTGTAAGCTCTGTTTTGCCATCGGCACAGGTGGTAACGATTGAATTGTTGGTATGGCCGCCAGGATCATGGCACGTTAGGTACAGGATACCAAGAGTTTGGATTTGTAAAATAGTACGCCGCCCAATGGGTTGTCCTCGTTAAGCCTTCTTTAGCTGCATTTCCAAAGTTTCTTGGGTAATCCAAGACCTTGAAAAGTTTATCTTTGTGATGCGCAACCAAGTGAACTAATATTCTTCAAATCTACTGTCATGCAACTCAACAGGTTGAGAGCATCATATCGGTATAATTCTGACACTTGCTGGAAGTTTTTCAAGGCCTTTAAAAGCATTTTAATTGACGCAGCAGTCTTAGATGCCACGTTACCCTGTGGGCCATTGAGGATTTTTGGTAAATTGGCAACTTTGCTTCTGATATAATTTTCGTTCCCACGCAAAAACTGGAGAGTGTCGCAGAGCAGTCCGACCGCCTCTTGCCAAGAATGCTGCGCACCTGGTGCTTTTCATGGACTGAGAAGATCAATTTCTTCATAAATTCTCGTCAACGGACATCCCGGTTCTCGGTTCGTTTAAGTGATTATTTCCCGAATCCCGCTCCACAAAATCGCCGATTCCCGTGTCCCGTTCATAATAAAAGTTTAAATTCCCGGATCCCGGCCTTTAATTAAATAAGCCCAATCCCGGATCCCGAAAAACCTATTGGAGACCCTCTGGTAGATACTTATTCTCTCCTCAGAATACTTTGCCTCTTTCGCCAGTTCTTGTCATGTAGTTTATTTCGATTAAGTAGTGTTTGGTTTTCATCATCTACGTTAGTTTTTGTCAGCATCCGGGTTACTTCTCCTCTAAGACTGACATGGATACGCCACAGATGGAAGTTTGTTTTTATTTAATTTAGTCTTTGGTTATATTTTGTAGTTAAATATTTGTATTTACTTGCTTTCAGGTGATTCACAACTTAATATACAATCATGTGGTTAAAAAATGAAATGTCTGTGCATTCGATAACGTGGCGTAGAATTTGTAGCACTTACCTACAATAGGAAAATACCAAAAAATCCAAACCATATGTCCCAGCCTATTTTCAATGGCCTTTTTGATCTTGAGAAGACTTCCGAGACATCTGTTTTCAACTGCAAAGTGGATTGCAAATACAGCTAACACAGGAGAAAAAGGAAGATTTGGGGAGGTGCGAAGCAAGTTCCTCTAAAGAGCCGCAAAAGGATCCAACTACCCTGAGCCATAAGAAATACTCTGCGCCCGGGACATCATAGTGAGGTTTACCCCAAATATCGGCACAACGCCAAAATGAAATAAAATCTCTGATAAGAAAGACGGGGGCAATTATTTTCCGACGTTTTTTTCTCAGCCAGGACAAAAGATAAATAAGATCTGTGAGAAGTACCTTGCGGCAAAATGCCTGATCCGTTTCGGTTCCGCCATAAGAATCTTCGATCATAGCAGTTTCCCTACGCAACAAGGAATCTCCAGGCACTGATGACGTCAGGATTAATTCTGTGTAATGACATCCGCTAATAACTGCGTTTCTTTGGATTGGTTGATCAAAGCCCGAAAATTTCAGTTACAAACGTCTCCACAAAGATATACGAAATATAGTAATTATTTGTTGTAAAATTTAAAAAACGATCTCTGGCTAAAACTTTTAAAATACGAGCTTTCGGCTGTTTGCGCTACAGCCTTCAACGGGTAAAATGATAAAAAGGTAAGAAATACTAGGTGTGAAGTACAAAGTAAAAAATTAAAAATGCTGATAACTAAGAATGTTTGTTAAAAAGAATGTTGTATTGTCCGGGCAAAGGACAGGAATTGTTGTCCGCATTGGGAGTTAACTTGGAATGCCACGCTTCTAGTGTTTTTCTTGTTCTGAAACCGCCTTTGTCAATAATAGATGCATTATCAAAGTCTATTGCGTGACTATTGGCCCAGACGTGATTGGCAATTCTTGAGCCTTTTGCCGCGGTTTTCACATTTCTGAGGTGTTCTTTCTTTCTTGTGTTGAAGGCCCTGCCAGTCTCACCAATATAACACCATGAACAGTCACCACAAGGAATTTATAAACAACATTTGTTTGCGATTCCAACGATGGTCGAAATTTTGGAGCCGGGAACTGTTGTTGGAGGGTGATGAGTGGTTTGTTCACCACTGTGATGTCGTGTTTTTTGAGGACACGAGTCAGAGGTTCTGTTACGCCTTTAATGTATGGAAGAGAGGCGAACGACTTGCGTGATTCGGACGCCTCGACCATCTTGAAAAATGTGCCAACAAGTTCCTCCGGGGACAACACTGTTGAGCGTCGGGTTTTTTTGGCCTGGATGTTTTTAATGAAACTCGGCCCCTCTATCTTTTCAAGTAATTATTTGGTTACAACTTGGCGATGGCAAAGACGTACACGGTAAACATTGAACTGAATTTTCATACAACACGCTTCATTCTCAGACAGGCTTTATTGAAAATTTCAAGAGCATTAACTGCATAACCCTTAACCCGCTAATAACACACCCTAAGTACTTTTAAATTAAGTTTCCTCAGGAATCCATCAACGGGAGCCTCTTTCTCTACTGATTCCTTGACGTAACCCTTTTCCGAGTAGGTTTACTCAGAACGGCTGTTTCCACTCAAGTATCATATTTCCGTTGAGTCAACTGCGATCAAAAAAACTGATTTCACTGCCCACTGCATGTAAGCGGATGTTTGACGTAAAGATATAGAGTTGTCGTAACTCTGTTTCGATCGACCCCGGAGCCTTTCTGAACAACTGCGCACCTACCCCTCCCTTAACCCGACAATAGTCAACTAATAGAAATTTAGGGTTAATGTTGGGTCAGGGGAGGGGTAGGTGCACAGTTACGTTGACATTGATTCTTCTCAGGAAAAGGTTGACTCCAAGGTAAACAATGGGAGATAGAGGACCTTACTGATACGCTCCTGGTTTCCTGTTGTGTTTAAAAAAGTGAATGTAAAACACGTGGATTACCTCCACAAAACGAAGCGCTCATGTCTTTACTTCATCAAAGCGCTTGATGTAAACTGAAAACAAAGTAATTAAATCGACCAATCAGAACAACGGAAAATATCTCAAGCAGCCAATGAGGACTTAAAGAAAAAACAAGCAATTGCTTGAAGTGCGGGAAAACGTGAATGCCACAACGCGATTAGCCTTCGTTTTTAAATTGATTGGTTGAGGAGATGGCATAAGTTTTCTCGACCTACCACAGAACAAAAAAAAATCCCTAAAGACAAGAAACCACTGCTCTCTCATTTTGTTTCGATACTAAATTTCAAATTTCTTGTACGGAAATTTCATATAGTCCACTACGCATTTAGCAGTAATCTGCTTGTTTCGTATTTTGCACGACGTTGACTTGAGAAACTATCGAAGTCATACGCAACAAACAAACCGCAAATTAAAATTTATCATACGCAAAAAAACACTAAATTACGTGTCTTGTCTATTTTTATTTTAAATATATACTAGTTTACAATCTACACGAATACTTGTCTGAACACACTGTTACTGAATACTACCGTTTCTCGGTAAAAAATATTACTTTTTTTTCTCGCACAAATTATATTAAGTCCACACGAGTGAGCCTCTCATCTTTAGTAAACTGTCTGGGGGGGAGGGGGGGGGGGGGAAAGGGAGCATTTTTTGAGTTTCCTGACAACCGTTTCAAGGCGTTGCTTTTCTTTGGGAGGACTTCTGGTAGTGGAAGAGTGATGTGGCATCGATTTTGCGGCCGGTTTCTGAAAGAGCTTCGGCAAACATCTTCACGACCTAAACAGAAAAGAGAAAACAGTTAAACATAAGTAAGCAGCGTTTAGTTCCAAATAGGAACATCGGGAATTCCACGCGAATTTTCTTTATTTCAGGTTGCTGTTCCGCAGCGAACGGCCAAAAATGTACAAAGTTTTAAAACGCACGTGCTGAGCTATCGTTCTGCTAGTTAAATCCTTTCATTCCCCACGTTCTTGTTGCCGTCGCCGTGGTGGTTTTTACTTAAGGTCCCAGTTTATCATAAGATTTCAACCGAATGTGACTATACCTCCAAGTTAGTGATAAGTGGGACTCCACAGTCGATGGACGATCTACGGATGAGGTAGTTATCTTTGATGTACTTGGTGTTCTGATTTGGCAAATTCACCACCAGGTCTACATCTTTATCTTGAATCAGTCTGCAACGAAACAACAACAGTGAGAGCTGAAAAATTTTAACACCCAAAACAATAATTTGGAGGCAAAGGCTCGAAATGCATCGAAACCAGCACGTTTCTGGCTTCCTATTCTGTCATTTCTTCAATCACAGTTCACCTGTAAGAATTGATTTGCTTTTGTAAACAATTCCGTACCGTGAATTTTGATCACGTGGTCGTGTGGTTGGGATACACACAGATCACCGGGACATCCTATGGGATGCTTACAAATAACGAAGACATCCCATGGGGAATGCGCGCAGATGAAGTGGACATACCATGGGGGGGACGCGCGCCGATCAGGTGGACACACAATGGGACATGCGCACACATCAAGGGCACATCCCATATTCGTTCTTTAACGAAGGAACAGAGTGTTCGACGTTTTCGTGCGGCTTGATTCTTAGAAGATTTTGTACGAAAAGGAAAACGCGAAAGTCCTTTGCCGCGGAAGAAGTTATCGTTATGAAGATGACGAATAGGGAAAACTAGGCAGATGATACCCCACAACAACATCAGCGCGCCGAGCAAAATTCTAACCTTGTAGCAGTCGGGTTTACACCAACGCTGTGTAGAGGCCATTCTACGGGTTGCGCCGGAATATTGTGTTCGTTCAAATACTGCGCCGTAGCTTCTGTTGCGTATAGAGTGAATCCCAGTTGGCGAAGCTTGTTGGCTGTTGGAAGAAACTTTGGCTGCAAGGATTGCTGTTCAGAAAACAAAGAATGAAGCATAAAGGTTTTACTCAAAATTCTTCATAATCGCGCCTCATCCTAGAAGATTGTTATTTCTCCAATCGTTACGATCGGCGTATAGAATCGCCAATATCTGGCATATCAGAAATCAGCGATTTTCGCCGATCGACTTCGCGATTCATATTCGCCGCGATCGGCGAGTTAAATCGCCACATGAGTCAGTGGCTTTAAGTTTCACTTTGACCCGACCAAGGTTCGAACCCAGACCCTTCATTACGGAGTCTGGCACGGTCACCACTACATACAACCCGGCATCTGGAATGTTAAGATGGGTTACTAACAGTTACTCTGTCAATCATCTTACCTGAATACCAATCAGAATGCCTTTCTTAGGCAGACGGAAGCCAGTTGACATCAAAGCCTTGAGAAACGCTGAATTGGCAGTGGATCCAAAACAAGCCACCTGTTAATCGTCAAATGTAAACGTATTACGAAACAGCATTATTTTCAATTTCTTTATGGCACAAACACGTTAAAATCACGTAAACATCCCTATGTGATTGACTCACGTAAAACCTAAATCAAAGAATTCACAACGGCCAATCAGAACAAAGGAAATACCACAATGAGCCAATGAGAACTCAAAGTGAAAACATGCAACTGCCTGAAGCGCGGGAGAACGCGAGGGACCAAGTCGCAATTGGCTTTCGCTTTGGATGAGAAGTTAGCGCAGGTTTTTTAGACAAATGACATGGCGTGGTTAATAAAAACCATTAAGAACTCAAAGTGAAAACAAGCAAACTGCCTGAAGCGCGGGAAAATGCGAGGGAAGAAGTCGTGATTGGCTTAAGTTTTTGAATTTGATTGCTTGAGATGATGGCGCAGGTTTTCCGAAATGAACAACACGGCGTATGAAATCAAAACCAATGCGATCCTGTAATACTATTAATACTTAAATGAAAAAAGTTCAATCTTCCATATTTTCTTTATTGATGTTGTCTCACCTCTCCAGTTGACGCCATCTCGCATCTCAAAAGCGGATCAGCATCACGAAGCCTCGGCCATGAAAACATTGGTGCCTAAACACGGACAATTATCACACTAAGTATCAGTGGTTTAGTCACGAGTGTGAGAAAATGAAATAATCTGAGTTACCATAGACAAATCATTATTTATCGCCGGGCCAAGGGGGGGGGGGGGGGGAAGGTGGATCACATGGTTTTTAGGGGGAATGGAGGGAGGACCATTTTGTTCATCTCCATCCATTCATCCATTTATTTGTTTTTTCGCCGATTAAAAATGAACAAACCTTGATGCCAACATATCCGACTGGCTGCAAGGGCGTGGTCAGATCAGGTAACGCGTGCTCATCAAGAGGATGGTTCACCATTATCTTTGTAGCCACAGTGATAAAGTCTGTGCCGACTGTTTTGGATACGAAAGGAAAGGAACGAGAAGCACGTAGATTGCACTCAATCACCTGGCAGACGGGAATAGGAAAATACATAAAGCAAGTTACATTTTGGTATCACTGGCAGCCCCGCATTCTAGATACCCCTGGGGTAGGCGTTACCCAGAGAGGAACGAAAAGCGCATAGATAGCACTCAATCACATGACAGCCTCGCATTTCCCTCGGGAATGTAAGTCATTGAAAACCTCGTATTATAGATACCCCTCAGGTAGCTGTTGCCCACATTACCTGACGGGTTGGGAGAGTAAAAGACAAAAGATAACTTGCATACCGGTACCCCTAGGAACCCGTTGTATAGATACCCCTGGGGTAGCCCCTGCCCAGATTACCAAGCCTAAGCAAGGCTTATCTTAAAGAGAATACAATTTATTGGATTGAGAGACATCAGATCAGAACTGACCGGTATGGATAACTCAAAAAAACAGTAGATAAAACAGTAGTATTTTAGCGTAAAATAGAGACTGGTTTTTCAATGAGAACACAAAATAAAAAAAATAGTCGTAACTGATCAACATAAAACGTTTTCAATAAGAATTCAAGAAAAGAATGATGTACCTAATTCATTGAAGATAAGAAGTACCTTAGCACCCTTGTCTAGTATATAACAACATCAATCATCTTACCATGATTTCATTATCTTTGGCTAAAAACTGCGTGTTGAACGGACCCGAAATGTTGAACTTTTCAGCAATCTTCCTGGTTGCTTCTTTTACCTGTTAAAATGTTTTAACAATGTGTTACTGAAACAAGATGCTTCAAACCCTCCAGCCCTAAAACCAGATAACTGTCCACGTCTATCGTCGTACGACGTTTGTAAACGATTTATTGCCGCAAAAGAGAGAAGAACACCCTTAAGAAATTTCTCTACTGAGTACGGTGCAACAGAAAGAAAAAGGCCCAAACGGATAGGTGATCACACAAACCTAACCACACCCAAACGTGAAAGGTAAGGCAACTTTATTGTTAATCAGCTACTTATAACTCGTGCAGCACGTGACGACTCGTGCAGCACGTGGAAGCACGTGCTAAGCCCCACGCACATAGTTAGATTGATTGAGGATTCCCGTTCTCAAAGTTATTCAAGTGTTATACATTTTGATTGGTCCTCACTCATAACTCATTGAGGGACAGACGCACAGACGAAGTCACCATTAGCAACACTTTGCCTCTTCATTTTAAGAAACAAATAGACTCCATGTTCCCGTGGATCAGTTCAGTGATAGATCACAGAGGATGCCAAAACGTGATAAGAACATGAACATCAGTGGCTTCCTCTTGTGCCACTTTTTTGTTTTAACCACATTTTGACATCTTCTCTAATCTGTTACTGAACAGACGCTCGATAACATGGAATCTATTCATCAAACAGCACATTGTAAGGTTCTCTGACCTGGGCGATGTCTTCTTCACTGATTGTCTGTGGAGGCAAGATGAGGGTGGCATCCCCTGAATGGACGCCAGCATTCTCCACGTGCTCAGAAATAGCATGGGCGACGACCTGGGGCAAAGAACCACATGGGCAACGCATCAGTATCAAGAAACTATGAATAATCCAATATTGCGATAAAATTTTCCTTGAACGAGACTCACTTAAAGGGAACTACACCAACCTTTCCATTCTTAGCTACAGCATCCATTTCGATTTCCCGAGCGCCCTCGATGAATTTCGTCATCACAACAGGATGGTCCTGAATTCAAAACAGAAAGACAAATCTGGAGAAATTCCCACTTGAGAGCTGATTGCAATCATCGATTCAGGCAGACTCGACTTTCTGCCAGCTCTAACACCACAGAAAATTAAAAAAAGCGAACATACCTGTGACACCCTGGCAGCCTCTTGTAAAAACTTTTTCAGTTCAACTGGACCGTAAGCTACGTTCATGGCTGAGCCACTGCACAGAAAGGAAACAAACAAAAACCCTCTATTATTTTCAGCCAATACGAGTCTAATATCAAACACGTCACGTGGCATATCACGTGCTACCCATCAGCGTACCCTTTCCCGCGCTTTCCCCCATTCCTATTTTTACGTTACCAGTCTTTTCACGGCCCCAATCAAACTTTCCATCATAATTCGTCTTGGCCATTATTATATTTAGTTATTATAATCACACGTAAGGTTTTCACTTCGCGACAAACAGTTTTATTATGTTCTTTACCTCAAGACGTAAGAAGGTCTGAGAAGACATGGGTACCCAACGGTGGCAGCAAAATTCAACGCGTCATCCTAAAACAACAACAACAATAATAAAACAAATAAATAAACAAACAATGGAGTAAAATTTCATTTAATTTCCAAGTTACAAATTAAAATTTTCAACGTTGCGACAGTGATCTGGAAAGCTCTCACAAAAACGGCTACTCACCACGGAAGAAACGGCTCTCCAAGGCGCTTGGCCAACTCCAATCTCGTCAAGAGTTGCAGAGAAGCGAGATCTACGAGAAATTAAAAAGTCCTGTAAGCGAGATTAATCAGAGCACAACTCTTTTCCACCAATCGTGAATCGTGTCTTACCTTTCTTCAGCCGCGTCTATCATCAGGGGAGAGGTGCCAAGGACATTAACACCATTCATGTACAGGGGGAGCGCTAGGTTATTGGGGATTTGTCCACCAACTGAGATCACAGCACCATTACAAACCTGTTAGATATGAGAAAAGGAAACTAAATCCTTGGTAATTGAACTAACCACCGTCGGGTTTTCATATTCCGCGCGTTTCATCTATTCTGCACTTTCCCGCTCCCACAGCCGTTTGCCCATATCTCACTCGTACCAACGACTCGGTACCCTCAGCTTTTACCACTTTGTTTTTATTTCCTACGCGTGTGATCGATTCTTCATTTCCCGGCCGACTCTCCATTTCCCGCACTTAATATCCATCATAATTTTCCCGCCGAAACCACTGGGTTTCCTTTTCCCGCGCGTAGTTTCCCGCCCTCTCAGCAGGTTACCAATTTCCGCGTGTAACATCGGTTATACAACCGACCACAATTCCCTCCCCCAATCTCTCACTACCAAGTATATCACAAACTCGCCTTGTTCATATGCCCTTGACGCTAATAAAAAATTCATATGTTTCCCGAGCTTCCAAATCTGATTAGTTCATGGCGTTATTTGGCACTGTCGCGAACTAGATCTGTGATTCGTTGTTATTTTAAAACAGTCTTTACAACCCTTCATAATCTTTCCATTTGTTGCATATTTACCGCCTCAAAAGACTTACCTCCTGCTGGTAAATATCTAAGACTCTTTCGAGGGAAAGTTCCTCAAAGTAAAGGCGATCACATTCATCATAATCTGTGCTGACAGTCTCTGGGTTGTGATTCACTACAACCTGATAATGGCAAAGTATATTTGTATCTGTGACCTCAGTCAGGGCTAGTTAGGGTCGGTTTTTAGAGGTTTCGCCCCTCTGCAAGTTCGCTGTACTGATGGGGCGAAATCGAGGTGACAGAGGCGAACCGGTAGGGAGAGAGCTCACATTCAGGCGAAACCTCCATATACCATCTGCGGGAGTTTAGCGCTCTAAACGTCAGGTCAACCAAAATCGCGCAAAATGTTTCATTTCTTCACAAACCAATCAACCACGAGTTCACACTTAATATACACCTACCGTTTTGATTCCCAGGTTTCTCAGAGTCCTGATGCAAGACACCGCACACCAGTCAAACTCGACACTGCTGCCGATATGATACGGGCCACACCCGAGCACCATGACACCTTTGTCGTTAAACAACAGGTCATTTTCATTGCCATTGTACGTCATGTACAGATAGTTCGTCTTGGCAGGATACTCGGCCGCCATTGTGTCGATCTGTTAAACAAGTACAAGCAAACTTTAAGTCACTAACAGCTGCGGCATATTTCTTAATTTAGTGTCGAACGTGATTTGGAATTGCAATGGTTTTGCTTCATCGGCTCTATGATTGGTCGAGAAGACGCGCGTCACCCTCCCGACCAATTAACTTAAACCAATCGCACCCGGTATATTGCATTTTCCTGCGCTTGACGACGTTTACATTTATTTATACCAGTTGAGCAGATTACGCACCTGTTTAACCCAAGGCCTCACACCTTGTTTAAGTCTTTCGTTTCTCATATCGTTTTCTGGCACACCGATCAGTCTTGCGAGCTGTCTGTCAGAAAAACCAGCTTGTTTGGCTTCCAACAAATCGTCTCGCTGCAAAGATCCCCTAAAAATAAAACAAACTGGCTAAGAAGCCTATAACTTACATCGAGGTCACATAAACCCTTTACACCCTAAACATCAGCATGCATATTCTCCATACTGTTCTCTATACATTTCCTAAGGTGCTGAAAAAGAGAATTTACGGTTTAACAATCAAGAGCTTCTTAAGATGGTGATAATTTTCTTAATTCTTGTGACCTAAATGTTTCATTCAGGGGTGATTGTGTAAGGAGAAATCAGATGTCGGTCACTTGCTCTCAGGGGTCAAAGAGTTTAAACGAAGAATTAGATAGCTTACAGTTGCTGATTCTTTAGATCTTTCTCTATTTCCACAATACGATCCAATTTGTGCAAGAACCAGTGATCAATGCTTGTCAGTTCGTGTATTTGATCCACTGTATAGTTCTGGTGAAGCGCCTGGAGATGAAAAGCAACAGGTTTGTCAGGTTTACCAATGTTCCATGTCAATTCAAAGGAAATCAATGACACCCCCTGTTTAACTTCTCTCGAGAGACATGACCAAAAAAAAAAAACGCTGCGAGAGCGACTACACGAGGACGGCTCTTATTAGAGGGCGATGCAGAAACAGGTCGCAGAAAAAATTCGCTTCATGTGACTTGGACATCTTTCCATAAGTTTTTCTTATCTTTCCACAATTTTTTGGAACAATATCAGTATATGAGCAACTGCACCTACCCCTCCCCTAACGCAACATTAACCCTAACTTGTTATAAGTTGCTGTTGTTGGGTTAGGAGAAGGGTAGGTACACAGTTGCTCAGATACTGACATTGATCCTTTTCATTGCATCTGGGGACTGGGACGGGAAAGGAGGAGGAGGAGCATGGAACTGGGCCAGAAATGACGTACTGTGGCAAGCTGTATGAATAAGACCGAAGTTTTTCTATGTTGTATCGTGTTTCCTGAAAAAATCTTGTTCAAATTAAAATTGATCTAAACCTGTGGGTATGATCGCCTCGATAAAATCGGATTAGCAGCGACTTGTGATGTAAAGTGTCCCCGCCTTTCAACTAAAGGAGAGTGCTTTCATCACCTTAGCGATGGAGTATACTCTTGTGTTTGATGGAACAACTAGCTCATCTTCAAGTTTGCCGTCTGTCAACTCCTGATGCATACTGGGAAGCTACAACAAAGAACAAACACGCAGGTTACTCGTACAGATATTAGTTAGAAATGTTCATCGGCTAAAGTTTTCAATTCCCTCGATTGCATTCCGTTTTAATCCGTTAACTTCCAAGATCTGATTGTCAGTTCTCCTCTCTGTTACACATTTCCATGTAAATCAGTTACGAGAATTTGGTGTTAGATCAAGTAACCACTTCTACCTGATAATTTTGAATATTCTCATTTACTGTTTGCTGGATAACGTAGGGATGATGAAGGGAGAAGTTACATGTTCATCACTTCTAAGAGTTAATCTTTTCAGTCCTTAGCCATCTTTGCCCCTTATTGGTTTATTTTTACCGCCTTTGTGGCAACTCGTTCACCACCATCAAGACCGAGGAAATCTGGTACGGAGCCATCAAACCGCTAGCCCGTCGTTTCAAGTCTTCAAGGCTAAAAAATTTTGTATTCTCCTTCAGGTTCAAGGTAGTTTTGAGCATCTAAGAGTGACTTGAAATATAAAGACCTCAACGTGTCAAAATTCTGTAATAGCACTTACCTTAGACACAAAGCCATCCACTGAGGGATGCACCATACGCAAAGCTTTCTGAAAGCTCTCCTCAAATGTTCGACCGATCGCCATAACCTGGTAAAAAACGTACTCAAAATTCAGTTCTAAAATCAAGTCAGCTTATAACCATCTAACGGTGATCCCAAACCTTAGGAGGACAGTGCGGCCATACGAAAAGCGCAGTGCACTCGATAAATTACCTTAGCAAAATTTGCTAACTTGAATATTGTAGAATTGTTTAATCAGAGCTCTGTTTTAAAAATGGCTTAATCTATATATTGAAGAAAATGTGATATTGCGCTGTTTCCATACTCTCTCTACGAAGAGTCTTTACTAAACCAGCCGAAAATAAAGTTAGAGACCAAAAAAAACTACAAAATTAAGAGATAGAAAGTTACCTGAATGGATTTCTATAACAAATAGTTCTCAATATCACCAAATCCATGAAAACTAACCCTTTTATTCAAGATCTGAAAGTAGTTTCTTCGGTGTCTGAATTTGACAAATGTCGCTTATTAACACATTCTTCAGTCAAAGAGGGATTCTTACCTCTCCAACACTTTTCATCGAACTGCCGATCTGTTTGGAAGTCATATGAAATCTGTCCAAGTCCCATCTAGGAATCTGTAATTGATAAAAGGACACAAGAATTAATTGCCTTGTCGTTGACGGCTTTTCGTGGCGAAAGCAATTCTCTTCATTGACTTAAAAGGTTGATAATACTACTTCGAGTCATTCTGGTGGGCTGTGAGTGAGTGCACGTCTCCTCAATGAATATTATTTGCATTTTGTCAAGTACAGAACATGTCTCTAAAATGGAACCCCATTTCATTGTCTGTTTTACACGTTAGTTTTTTTGTAATTCCCAGTAGAGAAGAAAATTGGGATGAAAAAGAGTTAAGTGGGAATTTCTATGAACGAAAAGCATAATAAAACCACAGTTGTTTAGGTGTTTTTTCCTTGAACTTCCACCTTGAGAACAGAGAGAAAGAACGCCGTTTATGCGAACAGTAAAAATTTGCCTTTTGGTCTCTGCTTTTCAGCGGTTGGTGAGTAAAGGGAAATTATTAAACTTGCTATGAATAGGAAACATATTTCTAAGCTAAGGTTTAACCTATAAATTTTATAGTTTGCGTTTGATTTAACAAATCTGAACCAGTTGAAACGTGATACGGAGGAAGTAAGCACAAATAAAGGAGTTTTCAAAGAGTTTTTTCTTCCAAATATGCCACATCAATGTAGCCATAAAGTGAGAATTGAACCTTGGTGACAATGTAATCGAGGCTTGGCTCAAAACAAGCCGTTGTTTGCTCTGTTGTAGAGTTCTTGATGTCAGGAAGTTGTATTCCAAGTGCGAGCTTGGCTGCGATGAATGCCAGAGGATATCTGCAAGATATTAATAACACGAAACATTCAGGAAGAATGATGATATTCACACCAGCAATTTTAGGGGTTAAGGGAGATTAAAGACTTGGAGGAGGTTTCAGTTGAGGTCAAATGCAATTTTCGCTTTTCCTTCAAGTTTTTTTCTGTGATTGGTGTAGAAAACTTGCCCTATACTCTCAAACAATCAAATGCAAGCTAAAATCACGCTTCAAGCAGTCTGAGCATTTTTCACCTCGAGTTGCCGCTGGCTCTTTGCAACATTTCTGTTTGTACTGAATGGTCTTGTGATTTTTTTTTGGTTTTGGTTTAAAACAATTTTGCGTATTACAATTAAGGTGGCTAGTACATGCGCGCGAGCGGAGCCCAATAGACAAGAAAATGTTTGCAAAATGTTTTTTTGTCACCTTACCGACGTAACTCTGTGCACTGAACCACTTAAGATACGCAATTTCAACGTCTACTTTTAGGCTTGGCTAAGTCTACCTAACATTTACCCGGTAGCTTTTGATGCGAGGGCAGAGCTTCTGGACAAACGGGCATTGACTTCAATTATACAGTACTCCAGAGACTTTGGGTGCAGAGCATACTGTATGTTACATTCACCAATAATACCAAGATGGCGTACAACCTACAACAAAAAGCATCAATTTAAGATCATAAGGGCATCCTACATGAAGGATTAACTGATAGTAAATCACATCGGCCAGTCACTCAAGTTATTGAAGCAAATAAAATTTGAGAATTTTAATTTAAAAGAGTAAAGAAAGGAATGAAACCTTAAGTGCTGTTTCTCGCAGCATGTGATATTCCTCATTTGACAGAGTTTGACTTGGTGCCACAACCACAGAGTCACCTGACACACACACAAAAAATATATATGTATATGTTCATAACTTCAATATTTTATAATAGACCTCTCTCTACCGGAGAGTATAGGTAGATACCGGCAAATTGTCAGGGAAAAAATGGTGAGGTGTAAAGATAACCTACATTGGACTAATATCCCAATCAGGAGATGTAACAATATCCCCAAGTGCTTAATGCTGCAGAAATTAATGTAATCTCCGGAAGCCCTGCGAATCAGCGTTGTATGCATACTCGTCATGACTAGCGTTATACACGTACACTGTACCTGTGTGAACTCCTAAAGGATCAAAATTCTCCATGTTACATACAGTGATGCAATTATCAGCAGCATCCCTGACGACTTCATACTCAATTTCTTTCCAACCCAACAAAGATTTCTCAATAAGAATCTGATTTGATAGCTTGAGTGCCTGGAAACAACAAAAACGCTACGTTGATTCATGAAAAACAATGTTTCTTCACCTAGTCACAGACGTGGACCGGAGGAAAAGTATAAACCCCTGCGTGGAATCGAGCCTCAGACCTCTGATCTTTTACCATTGAGCTACAGTTAACTCTGTGGTGAGTTAGCCATCCAAAGGTCTGAAGTGCTTAAGTAGTATTCATCACCGCGAAGATCGCTTTCAAATTCATTTCTTAATCCGCAGTTAACATATATGATTTTCAAATATTCACTGTTATTTATTCATCACTTCACGGGTTTACTTGTAACCAACATAATGACCAGCTCCCAGTTGGCTTGTTACCTCAGTTGGTACAGCACTGCACTGGTATCGCAAAGGTCATGGGTTCAAATCCGGTACAGGCCTGAATTTTCTTAAGGCCTTATTTTCACCTAAGCTTAAGTAGTGTTCATTACGGCGAATATCACTTTCAAATTTACTTCTGAATCCGCAGTTCACCTACATGATTTTCATATAATCACAATTATTTTATGTTCTTGAGGGGTATATATCCCAGAAATAGCTACGGATATCCACCTGTACTTAACAAAGGGATGCTCTGCTCTATTGTATAAGCCCGTATTCTTTTATGAACCGCGTTTGAACATACAGCACCCCATCCATATACGTAGAATAAAAATATTAAAAACTTTTTTCTATCCTAATTTTTACAGGGAAAGGAAAGGTGAAATAAAACAGATCAATCGTAACAAATACAAAGGCAAAACAAATCAGTGTTTGTCTAAATCTTTTTAAACGGGTTATTCATTGTCAAGCTTGTAGTACTGACAAGTTTCAGTTTAACCAAATCACCTGTCTTGCGACTTCTCTCAGTTTCTCTTCATTTTCACACAAGCCGGATCCCAGTCCTCCAAGAGCATACGCAGCTCGAACCATGACAGGAAAACCAATGTTCTTGGCAGCCTTTATAGCCGACTCTTCCTGCAACAGATAACATACGTCTCAAAACATTTAAGGGTACAATATATTTTTTAAGATTAGAAGTACTAAAAAAAAATGTTACCAAAAGTGAGAACACAATCATATATTGCGACAATTCAGGTGAGATTACTCCTGGTGTGGGCAGTAAATGACGATTTGACAACTGCGCTGATTAAGGTCGAGTGACTTGATAAGAAGACCTACCGTTTCCACAGCGACGCTAGGTGCTATCTTCTCTCCAATCTCTGTGAGTTTGTCTGAAAAAATTTGTCTGTCTTCTGTGGCTTTGACTGACTCTATCGGTGTTCCAAGCACCTGAAAATGCAAAATGTTTAAACACGCACTTCACTGCTAGGGAAAGCTGCTTGAATGTGTGTGATACAGAAAAATTGAGTAATAAAACTCTACTGTAAATGCTGGGATAACTGAAGGGAATGTTCCGCCTTTGCTAAGGGATCCGCAAATGGTTAGACGTTCCAGTCTTCTCGGATAAGGACAATAAACTACAGTTCCCGCCTCCTGCATCTCCTCTGTACTGGTTAGCATGGGACGTTAAAGAACCCATGCAACGTATAAAATTTGAAGAGATACCTTGATTTTACGCTTATCCTTATCAATAATGTTTTACAGTTCAAGCTTAAAAGTAAAAAGATTTCATACCTCAACACCATATCTCTTCAATACTCCCTTGTCATACAGCTCAACTCCTGGAAAACCAAGAACAGAAAAAGAGACAATTTAACCCTTTAAACCCTGAGAGCGACCAGCATCTAATTTCCCCTTAAAGTAACACAACTGAATCATTCATTACGATCACGAGAATAAAGGAAATGATCGCCAACCTAAGAAGATTTGGTTGTTAAACAAAATTCTCCTTGTCAGTACCAAAGCAAATGTATAGTAAAGAGTGTGGAGAATATGAATACTGATGTTAGGGTCTAATGGGTTAAGCATTTTTCTTTAAAGTGACATCTACAGGATAAGAAGTACACAAGTGTAAATTAATAATTTCCGATCATACCGCAGTTTAAGGCTGTTTGACCGCCCATCGACAATAAAATTCCATCTGGTCTTTCACGCCTTATGACATCTTCAACAAACTGTTCAGTTATGGGCACAAAGTACACCACATCTGCCTGGGACAAAAACAAGAATGCAATTTAAGTGTGTTGCTGCGTGCGAACTCTAGTGGAAATGAGTTGAAATGAGTTAACCGTTGTAGTTCCAATTATGACATACTAGGATTTACTGTAAAACTACTACATTTCCATTATGTAATTCAAAGTGTAAACAATAAATGATTGTAGTTGGCCAGCTCACGAAAAGAACGATGATGAAAGCAAACGGTTTTGTACCTGCTTCTCTCCTTCTGCATTAGTTTGAACTGAGGCAATGTTAGGATTCATCAGAACAGTCTTCATATTTTCTTCCTACAACAGACATGAATAAATGAAACATTACCCATAGTGTACAATGTTCAACTCATCAATCACTGCGAACGAACCATCCTCAAAATATTGCATCACAATTTGGGGCAATCAGTCCATTTGGCTTAAGGAAATAACTTAAAAAAATAAGTAAATTAATAAATCAAGTCCCTCCTTTTCGGCGAAGTCTGTCGCGCAAGTAAACAAAATAAAACGGTGAAAAAAATCGATGTCAGCGCGCTGCGCAGAATTTTCGTGCACCTTACTGTCGGAGCTTCACACAGCGCGTTAACATCAATTTTTTAAGGCTTATTTTTTTAACTCGTGTTACAGACTTCACTGGCAAGGAGGGACTGCTTGTAAGCTATAAATAAATCAAGATTGAACTTAATTTGAAAAAGAAATCTGATTGTTTCGCAGATATCAAACCTTCAACGCCTTTATTGCTTGAGATCCGGAATAGTCAAACTCTCCAGCTTGACCGATGGACAAACCACCAGAACCTAAGACTAACACTTTTGACACCTGAAAAATTAACCGGTTATTTGTATTTTATTACATTGTTGAGTTTTTATGTTCTCTACGCATCAGGCAGGAAGACTTGTTCAATTTGGAGAACATTGGTAGCTGTTGTACATTAAAGGATGGAAAATGAACAAAGAAGATGACAAAAAATTGCTGCGAAGTATCCTCTGAACAAAATAGCAAAGAAATGAAAAACTGTAGGTGGAGGACGACTGGGCATATAACGATTCAGGGTCCAAACAACATCCGCAGCAAAACGGTGACAGGGACACAGCAAGGAAAGAGAAAATGGGAGAGACTAGACAGCAGCTGAAAAAAAGAGAAAGGAAGTGGGGTAGATATCTTGGAATGAGATGATGAACCACAGCAACTGAAAGAGAGGGGAGGTGGGTCTTACGAGTCGCAAAGCTTTGAGTAGATGAGTAACAGGTAAATCCCAGTATGAAGATTCCTTACCTTAGGAGGTGTTGGAACTTTAAATGGTCTCCCCATTGCATGGTCCACTGATGTTTTCCCACCTTTCACAAGATTCATGAATGTGTCAAACAGAAACTATAACAAAGAAATTAAGGCCAGTTAGGAAAAGAGATTACATATTCTGGTTCTTGAGACGTTAGTAAAGAATCAAACAAAGGTCACCTCTGTGTCTGTTGGTCCACCAAATGCCTCCGGATGAAACTGTGCAGTGAAGATAGGTTTGTCCTTGTGCATGATGCCCTATGAATGGACGATGCAAGTAAAAGATTCAATAAATAACGTGACAAATGAATATATTAAATAGATAATTTGGTTTTTATCAACTGAGTTGACAATGTAAAGAGTTACTAAAGCTGACGTTTTGCGTGTTAGCCCTTCGTCAGTGCAAATGACGCTCGAAACGTCACCTTTAGAAAATCTTTACGAGGGCCAATTTTCATTATCAGTTCAGCTGATAAAACCAAATTATCTTGTATTTTCCCCTGATGACACAGCACTACAGTTCCATTCATTCATCAAAAAATTTCATTCCCCACGACCTTCGGTTTCTGTGCTCAGATTTTTTCTTTGTCCTACGCTCATTACATAGCAAACATAATATTTTTTTCTCTTTTTCCAACACCAAGCTCAAAACTCCGTAATACATCGTCCTTATTCTAAAAAGGCATATATATAGAAATAGGTAAATCCATAATGTGCCAGTTTGTACGATCAGCGGTTTCAGTAAAAGCTAGTTACCGGCAGTTTATCGCACCCCATAAGATCTCTTACTGCTGACTGTTTAGCTTGCAAGCAGGATCTCGTTTGGGTTTCGCCTTGGCGTACAATTGCCTACAACACCATCAGAAGCCGTTTAATAAAAAAGTTATTAAAAGCCTGGCTTGTACCTCATTTGTGTTGTCATTGGCATTAATAAACAGTGATTTCCAATCTGAAGGAAGAGTCTTCTCATCAATGGCATATCCATGATTCTGGGAGGTTATAAATGCTTGTCCATTGAGTTGGTTTATCACTGGCTGATTGTGTCCTCTGGAAAAAAAATAGGAATATTTTGCTGAGTCTTTTAGTTGTCAAAAGTTGACCTGGTTGCACTTAAACCATCTAACCCCTAAGAGTGATTGGCTTCTTATTTCTCCTTACTTTATCACCTTTTAATTACATATTAAGGTCATGAGAATACAGGAAATGATCACCCATTGATGAAGCTATTCGTTGTTGAACAAATTCTCCTAATCAGCACCTTAGGAAATGTATAGAGAACCGTTTGAAGGGAATACGCCTACTGATGTGATGGAGTAAAGTGTTAGACATGTTCAAAAGGCAAATGAATTTACCTGTTTCCAAGTGGCAGCTTGTAAGTCTGTGCACCAGCTGCCAGACCGGTAAGTTGATTCCCCATACAGATACCAAATATTGGCTGGTTACGCTCATTCTTCAACACCTTCAAAGGATGGCCAAAGAGGAAAATTAAACCCTCAAATGAGACACAGGACAATGGAGCATTTCTTGTATTGGACTTTAGGGTCAGTGTAACCTGGACCTGTGATTACGGACTGTGTTTAGGTACAAAAAAATTGTTATCAAATACAGTGATCACGGCAAAATTTCTTACATTATCAAGCAGATAAACATTGAGAGTAAAGAATAATAACAATTAGGGGATTATTAGCTGATCCAAAACCAAATTCTCTGAACAAACATCACATGAATTGTATGGCATACAGTAAGGAGAATTACTAATGAAATGGAATGGGACTGAAAGGGTGAAGCAGAGGGAGAAGTTCACTAGTGTTAATATAAAAAGACAACCAAACCTTGCGCAGATTCAGAACAGCATCCCATACCATGGCAGGGTCACCGGGCCCATTGGAAATAAATAAACCATCATAGATATCCTCAGAGTAGTCATAATTCCAAGGCACCAAGTGAACTTCTGCATCTCTCTACAAAAGGAAAGCACATGAAGACATGGCTAGGTCAAACCCTTAACTGTTTAACACCTGAGAGTAACGAGCATCTAATTTCTAACTAAGGTGTCACTGCTTATTCAAATAACAGTGTCTAAAATCCGACTGTAGTGTCTAAAATTGGAACCTTAAACCAGACAGTAGAGTCTAAACACTAGTGTCTAAAATCTGGACACTGATGCCTGCATTGGACACCAGCATCTTAGATTGGACAGTAATGTCTTAAATTGGACACCAGTGTCTACAGTCAGACACTAGTGCCTAGATTGGACACTAGAGTCTAAGATTGGACAGTGATGTCTTAAATGGGACAACAGAGTCCAAAATTGGACACTAGGGTATAAAACTGGACACTAGTGTCAAAATTCAGACACTTGAGCTTACAATTGAACACTATTGTCTAAAATCAGACACCATGTCTTAAGTTGCATTTTAGACACTTGTGTTGAAAATCAAACACTAGAATCTAAAACCAGACACTTGCATTTGAAATTATACATCAGTGTCTTATATTGGACCCACATTTTTTAAAATCACATTTAAGACTCTGGTGTCTAAGATCAGACATTAGTGTCTAAAATTGGACACTTGTGTCTAAGATCAGACACAAGTGTCTAAAAGCAGACACTAGTTTCAAAAATTGGACACTAGTTCTTAAAATCAGACATTAGTGTCTAATCGGACAGTAGTGTCCTAAATTAACACTAGTGTTCAAAACTTGACATTAGTGTCCTATCTTGGACAATTACATCCAAAACAGAGACTTGTAGTCAGTTTTGGACACCTGCATCAAAAATTGACATTAGTGTCTAAAATAAGACCCTATCATCTAAAATGGGACATAACTGTCTGAAATCAGACACTATGGTATAAATTTGGACCCTATTGTCTGAGATGGGACACAAGTGTTTAAAAGCAGACATTTCTGTGGAAGACTGGAACATAAACCATACCATTCTGTAACTTTACATACCATAACTAAGTGCCGGATCATGTTCTGTTTTATACCACAGTCAACAACTATGACTTTGTATGGATTTCCTTCACCAAAAATTTGTTTTTCCTGAAAAAACAAAATCAGTATCAATCTTTAATTTCTTGCAATGCATAGTGATCAGAGGGAAGCAGGTGGATTGGAGAAGAAGAATTCAAGGATAGGGTAATTAGAAAAAAGCGATTTGTTATCAATTACTTTTAATGACTAATTTTATGCCAAAATGATTGAAGGGTAAGTGATCCTTTTCCAGTGGTGTGGGAGATGCTGTGGCCTTGTTGTTAGTGCCCAGGACTCTGAAAGGTCTGAGTTTGAGACCTGGGTAAAGGGCCCTTTGTGTTGTGTTCTTGGACAAAATACTTCACTCCCACAGTGTCTTTCTCTACCAAGGAGTATCAATGGGTATCTGCAAACTGTCAGGGAAGCCTGATGAAATACTGGGGAGTGTGGGGTTACCTTGCAATGGATTTTCATCCAGGGGAGAGTAGTGATTGATACTCCTAGTTGCTTCATGCTAGGGAAACTGGGATACACTCTTACTGGGGGGGGCACTGCTTGGGCCCCACCTACAGACTTTATACCCTAGATTTTTCCCTAACAAAAAGGTAACAGATGGGGCAACTGGTTCTAGATGAGGAGATTGACAGCGAGACCACGGGCAATATGAGGAGTTAAGTACCACCTAGGAGTAACTGCACAGGGGTGGGGTAAGGTGTCAGGCAATGGAGGAGAAAATAGGATCAATGTCTGCATATGAGCAACTCTGCACCTACCCCTCTCCTAACCCAATTACAACATTAGGGGAGGGGTAGATGCGCAGTTGTTCAGATACTGAGATTGATTCGGAAAATGCCACAGAAGAAGGGGCTTGCAAAAAGAAGGGAATACACTAATTGATGAAGCTATAGAAAATAATTCTTATGTGAGATCTGTAGGTTCCTTTTGTACAGGAAATCAGTCAGTAATATAGAATGAAGTGGATGGAAAGAATACCAAACCTGGACAGAAACTTCAGCTGTCAAATTCCTCTTATTAGGATCAACAAATTCTACAGGCTGATCTTCAAATTCTATTTTACCAAGGATGGTCCCCTGAAAACCAGCAAAAATAACATCTGATATGAAATAAACCCAAAAAACTTTTGCATATAAATTACAAGATGGTACCTAGCATATAGTTGAGGCTACTGTAGCCAGATGCTGTCAAAATCAGAAAATTTTTCTTCTGCGGATGAAGTTGGACTCTTACATAGACACAAAAACTCCAAGGGACAGAACACAGAGACCCTGTCAAAGTAAATCTATGGACTATTAGCAAATGGGAAACTATCCATCCTGCTGTCACCCAAAGTAAAGATGAAACCAGGAACAACTCAGGTCACTTTTCCTCTTCATATCTTTTAATGTTGTCAAAACCAACTTGATTTCTACAACTACATTGGACATGTGTGGTCAATGTCTTTGCATACAAAGAAATTTGGAAATTTTTGCAGCATACCTTGTCTCTTATGATTTTGGTCAACATTCTTGTATCTACTCCATACAAGGCTGGAATCTATTTTAAATCAAGGAACACACATTTATATCATTACTTTAAAGCACAGATGAATGACAGGCTCGTCTCAGTAAGTAATACCTAAGCACCTGGTCATTACCTATGTACAAAGGGGGGGGAAGAAAAAGATCAAAATTTCTATAAGCCCCCTCCCCCTCCCTATTTTATGACACCCCCCCCCACCCATCACCTAATATCTCCTATTATATGCCTAGTAACAATTAAACTTCATGTCACATATATCCATAAGATGATTACTTTTCATAACAATGGAACCAACCTACTAAATCACAAAATAAGTTCATCGTGTAGACTGGTGACCAGTTTTTCAAGCCAATTTTAAATAACCTTGACCCCCCCCCTTTTTTTTCCCCTCACCCCTCTTCACAAATAATGACCAGTCCCTGAGCTTATCAAATTAAGTACCTATAATAACTAAATAAATAAATATCAATACCTTTTCTTCTTGCAACCATTCTGAAAGTGACTTCACTGCATTCCAGTGACTGTAATTATGAGAATAATCCTGAACAAGCAATCCAGACACCTGATGAAAAGAAAAAACAAAACAAACACACAAACAAATGCAAAATAATTAATTTCCAGAGGAATGGTTGGAAAATGAAAGGAAGACATAGCAAATAAGTGATCTCACTAAATTACCAATCGTACCTGTATGTTTTCTGATTCCACATGTTTTAATAATCCATATTTATCTCTCTCTGTTGTGCTCGGCACACCATAATTTCCCACTATAGGATAAGTCAGGGTCAGTATTTGTCCTCTGTAACTTGGATCTGTGAGTGCTTCAGGGTATCTGCAGATTTTAAAGAAAAAAAAAAGAACAACAAAAAGGTTCCCATTAATTTTGACGAGAACACCTCTGATCTACGATCTTCTAATGATAAAATAAAAATAAAAAGGGGCTTTGCTTACTTTCAGAGCTTGTTTTTATAAATTTTTCATTTGTTTCATTTTTTTAAAAGAACATTTAAATGTCATCAATCAGTGCTCCAGGCTTAACTTGTTTCAAAGTGACCATCTGGTGACTAGCCAAGAGAAGTATGATTTTGGCCTCAGAAGAAGATAACATTTTGAGCAGTATTACATGTACAAATCAATATTCTATGGAAAGGAGCAGCTTAGAATCTTTGTAGTAAAATGTTTCTTGTTCTGGTTACCTGGTGAATAAAATCTGTTTCACAGGGGTTAACTGGTATTGTTTTTTTTTTCACTGTTACACTAGACCCTAAATAAGCTGAGGAATAATAATTTAAGTAAGGAAAATTTCACGTACTTTAAGTTGAGAAGTAATACATGACTCTCTCTTTTCGAGAATTTTGGTTTCCAACAAGCAGGGAGAAGACACACAGATTTGATTAAGAGGGGGGAGGGGGGAAGGGTTGTGAACTCTCTGGACTTCTCCCTGACATGCTCCATTGTATGTTAATCAAAATCTGTATGATACGTAAAAAAAACTAACCCAGTCAGACCGGTATTAAAGACCACTTCTCCAGATGTAGATTTGCCATGACCAAAGGAATATCCTTTAAGGCGAGTTCCATCCTCTAGAACCAATGATGCCGACAAACTCTGAGAGGAGAAAAGTTCATAGAAATTCATAATATGGAGAAAATTATGTGGAACTAAGGATGAAGATGACATTTGTAACTCTTAAAATGTCAACATTGACAATTCTTCAATAATATCTCCACAGCAACCATATGTATCTTAAATAAGTGTGTGGACGCTTATTCAAAATTTCAGGTAAAGGGGGAGCACTTTTTGGAAGGATGCTTATTAAGTAATTATTAAGCTGTACTGATTTTGCTGTAGTTGAAGCTTAAAAAGTTATAAATAAAGCAGCAATAGAGACAGGTCTTCCTTGTATGCCCACCATCTAAGAAAGTGTGGGAGGAAGGCGTGGGGTGCTTGTTTGTTATTATTATTGCCTAGGGGGTGGTATCTCATTTGGAAGAGGGCTCTTATTAGAGCACGGGTGCTTATTCAAGGAAATACCATAATTGGATAAAGAAATGGGATAAATTTTTCTTGTCCAAGAATAATAAATCTTTACAAACAGAAATGATCAAAAATATACTCCATCCATGGTTAAGAAAAACTGTTCGCAAATTAATAAGAGGGCTTCAAAAAAGGTTATTGTTCTTCATCATGGTCCTAGGGTGTGTCTGTTAAAATAATGAAATAGCAAGCATCCATAGGTAATAAAACCCTCAAAAATGTGTTTAGTAAAACTTTGCTCGTTATCCTTTTTTATGGATATTATTCCTCACAAGTTATGTCGAATATTCTCAATTTATCTGAGAATTAACACTCTTTGTTCAACTAAAAGAAATATGCAGATATTCTTTACTACTAAGATCATTTAATCCCCCCAAAGGAGTATTAAAAAAAAAATTATTGTCGTCAGACTAGCTATCACATGCAGCAAAGATCACGAGGTTAACTCCAAAAAGTTTCACTATATTCTTCTATTTAGAATTCACGTTTAAAGCGCTCAATTGCAAAACAGAGCTACCTGTTAGAGTTTTCGGACAACACGCAAATTAAATTTCTTTGCTTATTTTAATCTAACGATCGAATGCACGTGCAAAATTGTATGGCATGATCGATCTTTGCAACGTGGTCCAACGATATCTTGCATATCGGACGATCGCGCGCCTCTCAAAGTACTTCAGAAAAATTCGCAACACTAGAATGAAATAAATCTTACAACAGTTTATACCTTTCGTGATCTTGTCGAAACAGACGATAGCTTAGCGGCTGAAAACGCAGTTTTCCCTCTTCGCAGTAAACTCGAAGCTCGAAGTATCATAGACATCTTTCATTACATAAAGAAACCCGTGCGCCGATTTCCAACCAAAAGGGCAAAGTTGAGGAAGTGATGAATAAATATTCTTCTTATTCAGACGTAAATCTGAGAAGAGGACACGTAATCATAACAGAAAGCTATCACATGTCGCAAATATCAACACAATATGATCACAATAATGTTTTGATTTCAGTCCCTCAGCAATATGGCGCGAAAATTCAATGAAACGTGATCAACACATGTAAGGAACAGGATAACCAATCAGAGTCAATGAAATCGATTAATAATTACGCCGCCATTTTCAACCCAGGGGTAAACCACAAAAAGGGAAGTTATTATGAACAATTGTGTGCTTCTGAAAATTTGAAGGAAAATTTGAATGAAAATTTGAATGAAAATAGAGGAGTAATTAATTTATTCCACTGATGAATTTTTGGATGCTAAACCGGATTTTCCTGGGATCGCAATAACAGATGATGCAATCAAATTTTTGTGATTCCTCCTACGCGAGATCTCAGGTTGAAAACGATAAAGTGACGGTCAAACTTTGAAGGTCAAATTGGACTTTTTATAGACATTTGTGTCGAAAAAAATGGTATCTATCAAGAGTTCCAGTGAGATATCATGAGGGGAACACATGTTTTTGGTCGGCCTTTTGGTCGTTTAGTTTCTTGCCGATCAGGAAAGATCAAAGGGATATTCAAGGGGAGTAATTGTAACAAACCTCCGGAGAGATGTTTGTCTTCTTCGAGCCAAAATTTGAAGCTGTTTTCCGATTCAAGCAAGCAACAAGACTTGAGACGATTCCTAGAGGAGGTAAAGTCCCTATACGAGATTAGTGGCTATTGTAATAGTAAGGTGTTAAGTTTGTTGCACATTTGTAATTGATTCAAAGAATGAATTGTTTACTCTGGTTAAGTAAAATTTAACCTTGGCTTATGGCGTAGCCATATGAAGCAATGTTGACGAACTTAACAAGGTAACACCATCTAGTCTAGAAATCTGAGTCAAAAGTTTACAAGCTTTTAGTTCTAATCAAGGTGAAACAAGACATACTTCATACTCATTTCTACAAATTTTATCAATGTCACCTGAGACCTGTCGGTTATTTCTCTTTCCAGATTGGTACTGATCCTAGGGAAGCTCGCTATTGGCTGCGGCAGTTTCAGCAGCATGAATCCACCCCTGATCAGCCGTTTGCTGTTGTGCAAGTTGACTCACCAATATTGAATGATAAAGTTATGGTAAGTTGAAATAGTTTGTGACAATTAGTTGCATTTAATGGCATTATGTTGTACAATTTTTGCAAGGTAATTGTTTATTTGATTCATAGCTTTATTTCTTTATTTTCTCTAGTTAGAAAAGCTGGCCTCATGTTTGGCATTCCTGCACCGCAATGGTATGCCTGTGATCATAGTTCATGGCTTGGATCCTCATTCAGATACTCAAATCAGGGATCCCAGGCTAAGAAGGGCTAAGCTGATTGAAGGCAACATAGAGCTTGTTGATCTGTTGGAAAAACATGGAAGTAAAGCAAGACCTTTTATGAGTTCTGGTCACGTTCTCTCAGCCATGGAGCTTGATGAACCTGGGTGAGCTGCACATGTTACTGTCATTCATTTGTATATGTATGAGGTATTTAAGGAAGGACACAAAAAGTCCTGGCAACACAACAAGTAGCAGATGTTGCAGAGACAACTAGTTTCATGTGACATGGAGAAATTTTGTGGGAATGGTAAGTTCCTACTGAAATTTTTTTCTCTGGAATAGGTTGCATAAATTCTAACTGGGTTGAATTTAAACTTATGATCATAGTGAGGAACTTAGCACAAACAGCATGGTACTGAAATGGTATGCTATAAGCCAGGCTTAGGCTACTTAAATTCTAGACAAGGGGTATGAAGAAGGAAATTTTTAGCTTTGCAAATGTTTGATAATTCATAGACAAACATTTTTTTCAGGACTGCTTTTACTGGAAAGATATATGAAGTGGATGTTAGACCATTACAAGGATGTCTAAGGTATTTCTGTGAGAATAATACAATTTATTAAAGAATTATTTTTTAGAGTAAGGTATTTTCAGATTGGCATCTGCAAATTATAAGTTATGGCTTAGGACATCTAGATTATTGAATGACTGATAGTTTACATGTATGTTTCATTAAGACTCTGAATTAGGAAGTCTCCAAGCTCACCTTTTATCATTTTACAACACTAGATCATAACATGACAGCCAATGATAAAATTTGAGTCATCAGCAAAAATTAAAAAAATAGGAAGAGGAATAGCTAGAGATGCAAAATAGTAAGTGAGGAATATAACACTAGCACAACAATGGAGAAAAAAGCATTTTATTTCTGGTCAAACTTAAACAACAGATCTTTACAAGTAGTTTATGAAAGTGTAAGTATCACTGTAACTTAACCCTTTAACTCCCAGATCAAATTTGTAATTCTCCTTACTGTCAACTATACAATTCTTATAATGTTAGTTCAGAGAATTTAGTATTGGATCAACTAATTATCCCCAAATTGATATATTTCTTTATTCTCATCACTTATCTGGTTGATATTGTATTTTATATCGTAAGGAGAAATTCTGACTTGGTCACTCATGGGAGATAAAGGGTTAAGGGTCATAAGTATTAAGTGATAGAAACATAATATTGCCTGTTATGTGTCAGCCAAACACAGGTTCCCAAATTGTGCCACTAATTTAACTGCCAAATTTTATTTCTATTCACTAATAAGATAACCAAAACAATCTTAGCTAAGAGCTTTTAAGAGTGGACTGGTATTTATCTTTCCAGATCAGGACACATCCCTGTGTTGACAGCAGTAGCAGAATCCCCCTCAGGTCAAGTGCTTTGTGTGGAATCTCATCATGCCGCTGTCAGAATTGCTGAAGAGTTACAGCCAATGAAAGTCATGTTTCTGAACACAGCGGGTGGATTAGTAGATAGACAAGGAAATGTAAGTGTTAAGAGTGAATATCACTGGTTATCTTATGACCTGTCTACCCCTTATCACAATCCTATAGGGCCAGGCAGGTTGACATAACTCCTATGTGGTATGTGACTGACTTTTTAGGGCAGTTATCAACACTTTGTAATATTTGGTAGGTTGTTGGTAATGTAAATGTTGCTGATGATCTGGAGAGTTTGCTACAACAGCCATGGTATACTGAGACAACCAGAGAGCAGGTATTTTTGGTTTCCATTATTCATTTTATTTTATTAATTTTATTACCCAAAATGTTCCTTTGGCGCAGCCCCTCTGTAGTCTTTGGTTGGTCCAGGAATTATGTGCTGTCTTCTCAAGCAATCAGATGCAAAACTAAAACTAATTGTGACATGTTTTCCTTTGCTTCAGACAGTCTGCATAGTGTGAATCAATAAATATTTTTACTTTCAATTCTCATTGACCACTTAAATATTTTCCTTTGTTCTGATTGGCCTTTTTGGTCACTTTGATATTATGACATTCCATTGAAATATGTCGTAAGCTGTCCCTTTGTGAGACCCTAGCCATTCAGGCCCTGGTTGTTTGAGGAGTGGATAACACTATCCATTACATGAATCTTTATCCAAATTTGATAATGCAGTACATTTTGTTAACACTTATCTGCTGGATAGGGATTTATCTGGCCACGGTTGTTTGAAGGTTGGATAGTGCTATCCGTTGGATAATTCTCTATTGGGTGGATGATGCTGTAGGTTTTGCCATCACTTATCTGCTAGATGGCAATTTATCCCTTGGATATTGTTATCTGCTCTTTATACAACTGGGTCCAGATTTGTAAGTTAGACACTTTCCTTTTTACCTTTATGAGAGTAGCCAAGTGTGACCTTTGGATGATTAAGCTGAAAAATGATGTATCTATTACCACTATTTGAAATGGTTATTGTTTTCTCCAACAATTAGATATCACATGGGATATTTGCATTTTTAAATATGACAAAGCTCAAATTTTTTTACTATCTCTTCTTGCTTTGCCAGGTGGTTTCAATTGCAGAATTGCTGAACACTTTACCTATGTACTCATCTGCTGTTATTACCAGTGCTGACTCTTTGATCACTGAATTATTTACTCACAATGGTATGCCTTGGTAAAACTTAATAAATCAACCGTGGTTTAGCTTGATCTGTACTCTCAACGACAACAATATTTTCTTTTTTTTGACCACTGTAGTGACAAATATCATTGTCAATAAGTGTACAGACCACGCCAAATCACTGTTGACTTGTTTTTTTCCACCACAATATCAAAGTCAAATGAAATTATTCTTTTAGTGCATGACATGTTGACGCAAACAGCATTGTCTGTACTCTTATTGTCAATGACAAATTGGCCAATCAGATTGCAACATTACAGCAACTGTCAATTGTAAAAATTGCAATACTCTTAACCTAAATTTTAAATTCTTATCTCACTTTGATTTCAGAGAATTGTCAAAATTTTTTCTTAGTTGCCATGGCAGTCAAAGTGGTTGTAGCTTGGAGCACTGTTACCTATTTGATACACATATAGGTGTTATAACTAACCATTACATGATATGTTATACTCTTTTTTTTTCACTTAGGTTCTGGTACAATGTTCCTCAGACCAGAAAAAATTGTCAGACATCAATCACTGGAGACTGTTGATATTGACAGACTTAAGGATCTTCTAGTTAAGTGAGTAAAGCATGGCATTCAAAAGACACTGGGTGTGGATTCATAGGATGCTTTTTATGTGTATGTTTTTCAGTTGCCTATCACTGTTTAAGTGGATTGGGAAAAGTATAGAGACCAGAACAGAGAATATGCTTACCATTCTTAGGGTATAAAAGGTTGAGCAAATTTATAAATGTTTTTCTTATTTCTAGGTCATTTGATAAACCACTTAATGCAGAATACTTCTCATCCTTAAAAAATCGCCTGCATACCTTGTACGTCACGGAGAGGTAAGTACTTGGGTCATACAAAGATCTTCATGATTAATTTTCCCTACTATTTCTGCTGGTCTTTTCTATCAGTTCAAACACTTTGGAGAAGGTTCTTGATACAAACAATGTCCCTTTGTTCTTTACAGCTACAGTACAGCAGCAGTTATTACCAATGAAGATGGCCTTGATGACATTCCATATATGGATAAATTTACTGTTGGCAGAAATAGTCAGGTACAAATTATTTGTTTGACAAACTTTTGTTAAGATTGAGATGGTTTTTTATGTTTGAGCTTTACATTAGCCCTGTTTATCTCAAATTATTTATTAGTTTAATGTTTTTCAATTGTGGTATTGCAAAACAATTCTTGCACCTTATTAAAACAATCACATGTCAGTTTGTGCTTCAATTAATCAATGTGGTCTATTATTTTGTATCTATACAAGGCAATTAGAAAAATAATGATGATAATGAGTGTGTGCTTTTGCTACAAATAGGGTCTTGGAACAAGTGACAATTTGTGGAAGAAAATAAAACAAGATTTTGGCAGCCTATTCTGGAGATCTAGAGGAACAAATCGCATTAATCCTTGGTAACTTTTCAATTAGTAATAATGCTCTAGAAAGTAAGGAATGTGCAGTGTAATATGTAAATCTGACCTGACCTAAACATAGACATGGAGATTGACCTATTGTGAATTGCCAAATATGTACTGGTAATATGTATGTGCACTGCCTTGACATGCATTTTAATAATCTAAATTAAAGTGATTCTGGTTTTATTCTTTTCAGGTATTTTATCAGGTCTGATGGGAGTTGGACAAATGGAAAGTGGACTGTATTCTGGTAAAGTCTTTTTAAATTTTATCGGTGCTGTACCAACGGATTCTTAACTCTTTAACTCATACAAGTGATTAACATGTAACTTCTCTCTATAACATCTGTGCACTATCCAGCAAATTGGTAATGAGAAACTCAAACTTATCAGGTAGAACTTGTATCTTGGTCATGATTGAACACCAAATTCTCATAACTAATGTACAAGGAAATGTGTAGCAGCTAGGAGGGAGAATTAACAGTCAGATCTTGGGAGTGAGAGGGTTAAACATGGAGTGCCAATTATTATAAGTACCACTTGCCTAGTGAAAATCAATTGTCCGTATGACTAATTACTGAAAGTTGATAATATTTTTATGGCATCAGACCTGTTGTCCCCCAAGAATTTCCATGAATGGGTCAAATTCTCCATAATAGGAGGTCCATCATAATCCCTGATGTTAACAGTTTTTCTTTTTTTCTTTTTTTTCCCATTCAGGTATGGAGTAAATGATCATATCTTGACGCATAAGCTTGTTCAACATGCCATTCAGTTGCCACCATCCTTTGATCCTATTGCTCCTCGTAAGTACAATATGATATTTTTAGTATCTAAAGAAGTCTGCATACCACTTTTTGGCATTTGCTTTGTTCTCTGGGGCTTCTTGTTGTCAGCCCTTTTGGTGAGCACAGTAGCTTGATGATCACCTTGTTGGACTTCAGATTGAAAGGTCTGGGTTAGAGTCCTGCTTCAATCACTTTTCTTGAGGAAGACACACATTGCTGTTCCTCCCCCTCCCTATCCATTAGTAAAGATGAATATCAGCCAACTGTCAGAGAAGTCTGGGTAAGGGGGGGAGGGTGGTAATGGACCAGCTTCCCAGGGAGGAGGAGTAATAACTCTCCTCGTTGCTTAACCCTTTAACCCCCATGAGTGACCAAGACAGAATTTTTTACAAGAGTGACTAGGGCGTGGTCCAATACCAAATTCTCCAAACCAACATAACAGTAAGGAGAATTACTATTCTTCCCACAATATCACCCTTGAATTAAACATTAAGGTAACATAAATAATGGAATGATCACCATTTAAAGAAACTCTTTGTTGTTAAACAAATTCTCCTGGACACCCTTGACAGAAATGCATAGAGAACAGTATTAAGAATGTGCATACTAATGTTAGTGTGTGAAGGGTTAATTAATGCTTCAGAAAAAGGATAAAATGTGGAGCTTTCCTTGGCATCTCTTACTCTGTAATCAGCTCAATGTCAATCAATCATCCTCGTTAAATTGTAAACTGCACCATTTAATCAGTGAGTTCATTAGCTGCATTGCTAAGTTAACATTTTCATATTCTCTCTTTTCATGTTAGATGATGAAGCCAGCAGTAATGGAGTTATTTCTTCCAATGGATATCACAAATATCTCTGATGAAAGAGGCTGAAGACCCAGGATTAATATTTCTTCAGTCATTACATAATAACTTTTATTTGGCACAATTACTTTACCAGAGTGTTATAATGTAAATGATTCTGAAAATTATGCATATCTGATTGGCTGAAAGCAAGTGCATTTTTCTTGTACCTGTAACACAAGTGCAAATTACAAATCGCATACACACACTTTCAAAATTTCTTCTGTCTTGCCTTTCTGTGGTGTTTTTTCAAGTGCATTATTAATAAGCAATAACATGACTTTTCTTGCAGTTTGGTCTAACAAGCACTTGTAAATTTTTCAAAGACTACAACTTGCCCTCACCCTGTGGGCTTGCACAGTTTGTTTTCTTTGACAAACTCACTTGTTGAATTTGCTGCTTGTTAATAGAAAATTGCACTTGAAATCATGTTATTACTCATACACCTGTTGAATCTGCTGCTTGTTAATAGCAAATTGCACTTGAAATCATGTTATTACTCATACATAAAGGATATCTTTTAGGGTATCAGGTAAAAGTGTTATTGGGTTTTACTACATAAATAACAGTGTTGGATGTGGAAGAAAATTATAGAAAATAGGAATCAGGGAATTGGGAAAGTGTTCTTGCATTATATTTTACTAAGTCAAAAATATAAAATTTATTTTATTTAAAATTTGAATAGGAATTACTTTTTGGATGCCTATTTTTGATAGTGGGGACGATAGCATGACCTTGTATTTAAAACTTGCAGCAGATTTAAAGATTAGATTTAAAGAGTACAGGAATATACTGGGAAATAAAAGAAGACCTTGTAACATAATTGTTTTGATGAATAATGGGTGCTTTTGCCGTCTGTAATTTTACAGTGTATATGCTATAAAAAGAGCATGGTTAATATACTGGGTTTGCAAGTGTTACAGAGTTTTTGTTGTCAAACAAATTTGTTTTAATTTATCTTTTGTTTTTGTGAAAAATACAGGCATATTTTTTTTTTAGTTTATTCAATAAGAATTAAATCTCCTTTTTTTTTTAATTATTGCAATTACTAAGGAAGCGTTCATTGAGGTTTTTCAACTCTCTTACCAAACAGTGGTGCTCATCTTCTGTGGCATTGGCTGAATCAGCCTAATGAAACTTTCAGACTGCTGTCAGGAACTAGTGGATAAATTATTCAAGGAATTATTCAGAGCAAAGAGAACAAGCTCAATGACCTTCCTCCTGCTCGTAACACAGATACTTTGAACCTTAGAAAAAAAAACAAAAGTTTAGGCCTGTGTTGGTAACAGTGTTATCACTTTTAATGCCCTTAAAGCCTAAACTATTTTATTGGACTAATTTATTGGTATTTTATTTTAAATCAAAATTTTATTCACAAACACAAAAGATATACAAACAAATGTTCATTCAAACTTGCTTTAAACCACTGATAGTTCTTTTTAATGTTATCATTGACATTCTCCTTTGTAATAAGTGTAATTCAATTTTTAAGTTGCAAAGCGATTATAAATAAACTACTTATCTACAAACAATTAACCACTACTATTTCTAGTGTGATTTGAAGCTGCATAATGTTAAGAGGGCAAAGTGTTGTGCTTATTGCATATTTGGAAGAAAAAACTCTTGTAAAACTCCTCTCTTTGTGTTTACTTCCACTTCATGTTTTAACCCTCAGACCCCGGACAGTGACTGGCATCTACTTTCTCCCTACAATATCACTCTAGAATCAAACATTCAGGTGACAAGAATAAAGGAAATGATCACCGACTAAGTAAAGCTCTTGATTGTTAAACAAGTTCTTCTTGTCAGCAACATAGGAAACATTTAGAGAACAGTATGGAGAATATACATACTGATGTTAGGGTGTAAAGGGTTCACCTGTTTATATGGAATAGTTAACGTGTATGTTTTTTTTACTTTTTTTTTGGTTATTGCAGTGCTGGTAAGGAAATTATTAAAGGTTCTTTTAGAGTATCAACTTAGAGGACCTCTCAATATACTTTTACAAGGGAGGCTGGACCAAACTCAGTTCTAATAAGAAATAAGCTATAACTGAGTAACTGTAAGGCAAGTTAGGTACAGAGAATATCACAGGGTGACAAGAAGATATGAATTTTATGTTTGAATGGCAAGAAAAATATCTCACTTGTTTGCTGTGCTTGATCCTCCAGATTCATACCTCCCAACTAACAGGTAATTTTCTTTTTTTTCTATGTGGACAATGATTATATCTTGTGGTGGCTATTATTCCAATTGACAAACAAACCAAGTTCAGTCAGCAAAGTTTGAAAGGTCGGGATGGTGATGTCATTGCTCAATATGACCACTTGTTTTACATATGAAAACTACACCACCTGGTTCCTGAATGCAGTGGTTGTATTGATTCTAAAAGTGATTTACTTCTTGGTAAAACACTTTTGTCTATATAATAAATAAATAAATAAATATAAGTAGATTTGAAAATAATTGGGTGGAGTGTAGAGAACAACCGGTGAGAAATAAATGAGTTTGACAAATTTGTGTATGCTAAATATTCCTTTTATTATTAAACTTAGCATGGAGTAAGGCAACAGACCCATTTTGTATTTTGGAGACTCAGAGAAACACAACGACATAACGATCACAAGAGGTGATCTTGAGTTCGTAATCATTTGGTTCATCACTATGCAGAATCATACAATGCCAACTGTACAAGGCCAATGCTGATAGATCACCAAGCCTCCCTTAACATTTTTCGTATTGTAACAGACTGCTACTTTTATCAACAGCAGGGGGTGCTTAACTCAGGCACCTGGGCCAACCGAATAGCCTTGATCTAATGATCCTGGTGGATTGACAGTCCTCAACCACACAAAGCTGATAATTAACTCCACTCACTTGCTCTCTGCAGTGTTCTCTTTCAGGCAGTCACAGGTAAAGTTTGCTGCATGTAATACCTCCTATTACTTCCTAAAATCTCTAAGAAGTCTTGGAAATTTAACTGGTAAAAGGATTGCTCAACTGTTTTGAAAATTTCTCATACCAGTTGTGCTTCAAATAAGAGAGGACAGAACACTGTCTATGGATGAGTGATGCTTTGAGTTAACTCCAAGATATGTAACATTGAGGGAATTTGTAACCGTCTAATGTGTGACAGTATTTATAATGTACTATGTTTGTACTGGCTTTATCTTTGCCAATACTGCTGCTCTTCTGTCAGTGTTCTGGAACAGGGCCCTTATCAAGCCTCTCACCTCTTGAGCACTACATTCATGTGCCAAGGGACCCTGGTAGGAAATATTGAAACAAATAACATTAACCCTCTCCTTACTGTCTTGTTTACAATTCTTGTGATTTCAGTTTGGAGAATTTGGTATTGGATCAACTAATAATCCCCTAATTGACATTTTTCTTTATTCTCATGACTTGTCTGCTTCATATTGTATTGATATTGTAAAAAAAAAAAAAAGTAGCAGACACCTATGTCTAAATAGCAACAAAACGATGCTACCTTTCCATCTGCCCATCTATCCACAATGTCTTGTAAACTGGCTTCCAATATTGCTATCAGCTCTTTATAACGAATCCAATGAGGTACAACTGTGCATAAATCCTGAAACACAAACACCACATTTTGGGGATTATTTGATGAGTAGTAATGATAATTGAACCTTTAAACGGTGACTCTTACAGGTGGACACCTTTAGACATAGTTATGGCTATGCACTCTTGTCTTGCACATGAAATAAGCCTCACAAGAGGGTCAAGCTAATGGAGTTCAATTACAAAGTTCCAAATAAACTCAAACATTTGAAGGCTTTTTACTGGATTTTCAGTGAGAAATCTGTGTCAGAAAAAAAGTGTAGAGTAGCAGCTAAATATTCTCTGTTTAATAATAAAAGCTCTGGTTATAGAAATTAAGTTGGAGTATTGTGCCCTGTAGCCAGAGAATTATTCAATGTGCAATACTCAATGAACACTGAAATTTTTTTTTTTGACTGCATTATCTTTACCCAGCTGTTTTCTGCTGATTCTGAGTTTGCTTCCTGTACATTTTGGAATATTTCAGACCCTCGCTCTACAAGTATGGATAATAATGAATGAAGCTGATGAGCCTCTTCTGCTGAAATATCCTGTCAAAAAAAAATTATAACAAAACACCATTAGTTACCTGCATAGTTTTTTGTTTTTTTAAACAGAGTTTCAAAGACAACTAAGAAAATCTAAGAGCTAAGTAGACCAACCTAAGAAACAAATATACTTACATGATTACATGATTACAAATTTTTACTTACACTGGTACAAAGTTGTTTGGTGGTTGTTATTACAGCACCATTTCACTTTTGATTTACTACAGTGTAATAACAGTTCAAGATGACAAAAACAAGCATGTTCAGGAGGTGGATAGTAGTCACTATTCACTTCCGATCTAGCCAATCAGCACGTGTTAAAAGCACTATTCACTTGCGTGGTATATAATTATGATATATTCTATGGCTTCACCTCCATCTGGGTAACTTCCGAAGCAATGTTTTGTAAGACGTCATCAAATAAGGCTCCTAAGGCCTGACAATAAATATCAACTGGTAAAATACCGTTCCACACTTTTCCAAGATTTGTTAAGAGATGTAAAATCTGAAAGATGATGAAGCAAACTAACATTTAGTTGCTAGGAATATTAAAAATATCAATGGTGACATTGCTTTTGAGAGTCCTTAGCCACGAGAAGTAGTGCTTGTTCACCTAATTCTAATTCCTAACATCAATGTGCACATTCTCCATACTGTCCTCTGTATATTTGTAAGGTGCTGACAAGGAGAATTTGTTTAACAATCAAGAGCTCCTTTATTCTCCTGACATAATTGTTTGTTTGGTGATCATTTTCTTTAGTCTTGTGACCTTGATGTGTGATTCAGGGACAATGTTGTAATGAGAAATTAGATGCTAATCACCCTTAGGAGTCAATGTGGATGTCAAGTGTTTCTTGGAAGGCTGAACAATGTTAAGAGTAGAAGACCCAGTCAGCAGGTTACATTGTTCTCAAAGACAAAGGATGAGTAACATAGTTAGCCCTTTAACCTCTGCGAGTGATAGGCATCTAATTTCTCCTCACATTATCACCCCTGAATCAAACATTAAGGTCATGAGAATAAGAAGATCTTGATTGTTAGATAAACTATCCTTGTAAGTACCACAGAAAATTATACAGAACAGTAAGGAGAACTTGGATACCAAGGATACATGAGGCTGTAAAGGTTTAACTGATGAGAACTCGGTGCAGAAGGTCTTGTCAACTCTATCAATGCTTTTGGTCAACACAGTATTTTAGCAGGTAGTTGTGGATTACCAGAAAATTAAAAATTGCAGATTTCCATCGGTGCACCTCCTTGTATGCTCACCTGTTTCATTGATTTCTCAACCTGCAAACCTTTTTCATCCTCATGCACATTTGCAAAACCTTTGTTCCCCTGCACAACTTCCAACAAATTAGACCTTTGCTTTCTCTGTGAACAGAAACAACAGAAATTAATTAACTACATTTTCACTGTAACCCTTTGATCCCAAAAGCATGTCTAGGATTTGATTTCTCCTTACAATATCATGTCATCCCTGAATCAAACATTATAAGGTCAGGAGAATAAAGGAAATGATCACCAACTAAAGAAGCTCTTGATTGTTAAACAAATTCTCCTTTTTAGCACCTTAAGAAATGTATAGAAAACAGAATGAGGAATATGTATACTGATCTTAGGGTGTAAAGGGTTCATAGGACTTGCCCATAATCTAAAACTTGTCACGTGCATCATTAAGTTGTAAAAAAGTAATTTTTTTATGGAAATAGCTTTACAAGCAGAAATCTTGTTAAGTTATGATGTATGATTTGTAAAATGCAAAAATGGAAACAAAATCTCAAACAAAAAACTAACCAGTTGTTCAAGGAAACATTTTTCTCCCATATGTCTTATGGTTGGCACCAGATCCACAAAAGTAGCCACGCTCTGATTAAGAGGCTCTGGCAACTTGGATCTGAACTGATGTCCAAGAGTGAGAAGGTGATGAGCGATGTACATGCAGTTGTTATGATGCAGAGCAGACAACTGAGGTAATTTGCTCTGAAGAGAGACAAATACAAGGTAGTGATTAACACGTAACTTCTCATTGTAATATCCATACATTATCTTGAAAACAAGTAATGAGAATACTCAAACTTATCAGGTTGAGGTGGCTATCTTGATCTAACACCAAATTCTCATAACTTATTTACAAGGAAATGTGTAACAGCTTGAGAGGAGAATTAACAATCAGATCTTGGGAGTTTAAGAGTTAAAGTGATGAAACAACCACAAACTCACCAAGTGCTGTTGATGATAAGTGGGTACCACATTGCAGTATAACTCAAACATGTTACGAACACTGTAGAAGAGCTGAATAGCACTGGAAAAGGAAAAAAAATGTAATAAACTCATCACAAAGTGAGCATTAAATTAAAAGGCAGAAATGTGCTTGCAATTGTAATTATGTAGCTACTGTGCATACCATTGTGGGGTAGATTGTGTTGCTTCTATCAAAGTTTCATAAGCCAGATTCATTAGTTTCTCTGTACTCTCACTGATTCGGCAGGATGGAAGGCAGAATGTAAACTTGCTTAGTGTGTTAGCTGGATCTCTCTGCAATGGTTCATGCTGAAAAAGATATGTTTGTCAATTTACAACTCATATCTTCATCACAAGTCTATGCCCTCTGTGACACCTCAAACCTCAAAGGTTGGTCAATATATAGAAAGTCACGGACACTGATTTTGCCTCTTACAGAAATATAGGATGGGGCATTTGAACGCACCTTTTGCCCTGGCTGGTGGGGAAGGGGTTTGAACAAACCATTCTGTAAAAATTAAAATGCCATGAGCAGGAGTTGCTGGGAGAGGGGGGAAGATGTTAAAGCTTTGCATTGATTGATGCATGCTGTACTGATGTGGAGAATTGTTCCCAAGCAAGCCACCACTGAGTTTAAATATGGGCCAAAATTGTAACAAATTTTGTTAAATACCTTTACTCCTTTCTTGTTATCTGATAATGCTTTCTTTATATCACCCAGACTCTGTAGAACTGCCTTGTCTTTCTTGCTGTCCACCAACACAGTATTGTGAATGTCATCCTTCATCAGATCACGTGCCCTGACCAGAAGATCTTGACACTATAAAAGCACAGTTATAGGCCAAAAAAAAGAAAAAGGGCTTGAAATCAGTCTAATACATTGAATTCTTGACAATTAATGATGCCAAGATCCTTAAAATACTAAAAAGACAATACACAAAGTTATACTAATTATAATATACCTTTTTGTTTCCAAAGTGAATACCAACATCCTTTACATAGGATGTCAGATTATTTGTTCCTTCAGGGACTAAACCTAGGTGACAACAAAAGATTTGAGTAACAAACCAAAAGATGAGTGCAAAAGAAAAGCTGTCTGAACCAATAATCTTGATTTTTATAAAAATACCAAGTTGGGCATATAATGAAAAGAAGACCAACTGTTTAAAGAAATTTTCTATACCTAAAGACACAAGCTTTGTCTCAAATTCCTCAGTGGCTTTTATGACATCTTGATACTTTTCCAACTGAGAAAGAAAAATATATATATATAATTTAACACAGTTTATATGCTGGGTTCCACTGTACACTGGAGGATCTTGCAAGATCGTTGGCTGAAGTTTGAAACGATCCTTGCTAACATCCACATACAATCCCACGGTGTTGACTTCTTGGTTTGGAAAATAGTGGTAACCATCCCAAAATACTGGGTGCACTAGGTGAAGTTAAAAAATTATGTGAATCCAAGGGTGAAGTCCACTTTAGTATACCTGTGCACTTGTGTTAGGAACTGATTTCTTGAGGCACTCTGTAATAATAGTTTCTGACAGATCAGGCCATATATATTCACCTGAAGAGGAAGAAATGCAACTTGTTTACACAGAAAATCTGAATAATTGATTATTGGTTACTTTTGGTAGTAGTAAACATTTTGCCAACACTTTTCCAATCAATTATTCTCATTTCTTAGACACATGACCTGAGCAAAAAAAACTATCCTAATTATCACTCCCAGATCTTATTGGTAATTCTCCTTACTGTCTGCCATACAATTCTCATGATGTTTGTTTGGAGAATTTGGTATTGGATCAACTAATAATCCCCTAGTTGATATTTTTTCCTTACTTGACTGCTTGACATTGTACTGACATTGTAAGGAGAAATTCTGTCATGGTCAGTCATGGTAGTTAATGGGTTAGTTGATAAAATGTATAAAACAGAGAAGAAAATCAGTTCTGACAGTTTTGTAAGATCTAAACTTCAGGTGACACAACTTAAAGAAAAATAAAAATGTCTCTGATGGCAATAGAGAAATACTTTGGTTTAGGTGAAAGTCCACCATTAATAATCTTACAAAGACCAAGCTTACTTGGCAGTTAAGCACTTGTTGCTGCTTGGAAACAACTTCAGACCTCTTCCCATTTTTTCCAGATTATTTTCCGTTTTCTCCAGGTATAGAAAATTAAAATTTCCATGTACTTTTTCAAGAATTCAAGACTGTATACAAATCCTGGATGAAACATACCTAGTTTCGCAAAAAGTGATGAACTTGACACATTAAGTGCCTCTGACTTTTCATCATCTTCTTTCCTACTTCCTTGAAAGAAGTTTCTCAAAATGACAAGGATTTCTGAGAACTTTGAATACAACAAGGCTGAAATCAAAAAGCAGTATTGGCACTTAATTAATTCTTTCACTCCCAAGATTTGAGTAGTAATTCTCCTTACTGTCTGCCATACTACACAACTCTTGTAATGTTACTTTGGAGAATTTGGTATTGGATCAACTAATAATCCCCTAATTTATATTTTCCTTTATTCTGATCACTGGTCTGCTTGATATTAACAATTATGTGTAGTACTGTAGGCAAAATTAATATCGTTGAATGAGGTTTCTCTGTCATCAAATTCATGAAACAAAACAAAAAGAGCCACACATACTCACCAGGATCAATGATCTTTTTTCCACTTTCCTTTGCAAATGACACAGTTGTAATTTCTTGTTTTGTTTTATCAACTTGTGGCTTTAAGCTTTAGAAATAAAAAATAATGAGAAGAAAGGAAGCTTAGATGCTTCATTCTTTAGCTCCTAGAAGTGATTCACATCTAACTTCTCCCTATAATATCCATAAATTATTCAGCAAACAGGTGATGAGAATACTCAAACTTATCAGATAGAAATTGTTATTTTGATCTAACACCACATTCCCGCAGCTAGAAGGGAGAATTGACAATTAGATCTTGAGAATTAAACGGTTAACTCTCACGTTATGCCTCTCTCTACACAGGAGTAAAATCAAGTGCCTCTTAGATACAAGTCTTATACCCTTTTACAACCTTGAATTCCACAGTTCAACCCTTAAAACCCTAACATCTGCATACATATCCTCTATACTGTTCTCAATACACTTCCTAATGGGCTGACAAGGAGAATTTGTCTAACAATCAAGAGCTTAAATAAGTTGACAATCATTTCCTTTATAATCTTGACCTTAATGTGGGATTTAGGGGTGATATTGTAAGGAGAAACTAGATACCAGTCACTCAAGGGGATCAAAGGTTTAATAATGCCTATTGAAATGTCCTGAAGTTATACTTGCAATACACTACAATTCCATTCATAAAAATAAGGAGATACTCATAGTAACTGCACTCTACAGATACTGGGATATAATTATACAGTGTGTACCAGATACATAATCTTTATTTCACTTTAAAATATCAAATTACCTGGGAAACAGTGTTATGGGACGAAATATAAACTGCACCAGCTTCTTTCCTACATTTACAAAACAAACAAAATAATTTAAAAATGCCTTAGTTTGTAAAGTCAACAGCTTGTTTCAAACAAGAGATTCATTAGGTAAAAATTAATTTGCATGACATTACCAAACACTCTAAATCTTTTTTCCAAAATACCAAGTGCCTAGAAACATAGAAGATAAAAGAAAAAACTTGTTAGAACTTGTAAAGCTTTGAAAGAGAATGCAAAAAGGAAAAGCCATCAAGTTTCTGTCCATTATGAGTCAGTCACAAATACAGCCTTGATATCAAACTTACCTCCATTGCTTGAAGAACGTTACTCATTGAACAGCCAGCTGCAAATAAAAATATGAAATGTCACAAATCAATCCAAGCCAATTGCATTAATGATAATTATTAATTTTAGTTAAACCTTTAACCCCTTGGAGTGATAAGGAACTAATTTCTTGCAACAGTATTATCTCTGAATCACACATTAAGGTCAGGTGACTAAAGGGAATGAACACCAACTAAGGAAGCTCTTGATCGTAAAACAAATTCTCTTTGTTAGCACCATAGGAAATGTATAAAGAGCAGTAAGGAGAATATGCATATTTATGTTAGGTGTAAAGGGCTAACAAAGGAATAAAATCCATCACAGTAGCTTGGATATTTGATCACAATTTGAACAACTTTTTTTTTTTACTCCATTTCCCCTTTATTTCAGACTTGACAGATACATACAAGACTGCATGTGGGAGTTCTTCCATAATCCTAACCCCTTCCCCTTTCAGTTAGGAATTCTCCAAAGAGCTGGAGGGTATAATTTCAGAAAGAGCTGTTAATACATGTGCAGTGTGACAGTCTACAGCCTACAAAGAAACAATATTAGAGCCTTATCATTAATGTGAGAGAAGTCCTGGAGAGGGCTGTTCTTGGGAGTTCTCCAAAAAGCCACAGGGCATATTTCAGAAAGAACTCTCAATACATGTCCAGTGAAGCAATCGACAGCCTACAAAGTGACAATATTAGAGCCCTATTATTAATGTGAGTGAAGTCCTAGAGAGAGATTTTCTTACTTGGGTCCAGCTTGAGTTGTGTTTTCAGATGTCCCTGGCTGTTGTCCAGTGATGCTGTAGTAGGTGTCGTCCATGCAATACTTTTGGTCCACACCCTTTCCAGTGTTGCAGTCAGCTGTGCCTTCTGTCTTCCCCATTCCTCCTGCAATAAATTAATATTTGTGACTTTTAACAACATCTCTTTAATGATTCTCCTTAGTGGGTACTCTACAGTTCTTATAATGTGAATTAAGAGAATTTTGAATTGGATCAGGCAACAATCACCTAAACGATATTTGTCTTTATTCTCATCATTTGTCTGTATGATATTGTTTTGAAATTGTGAGGAGAAATTCTTACTGGTTATTCATGGGACTTAAATGTCTAAGATATCAGGTGGGACTGACAGCTCATATTTGTTCACCACCCCTTCAGGGCTAAGATTTCCCAGTCACCTGCCCATACATGGCAGAGGATCTCCCCTATATAGACCACCACCCCACCCTTAGAATGACCTGTGTGGTCTTCCTCCATTGTTGATGGACAAACAACATCATCATGGAGAAGAATTAACCACAAAATAAAACCACAAACTCATATTTGGAAAAATAGGGAACTTAAAAGTTTTATGACAATATATAACAGCAACTACTGAGAGGTGATCTCTTACTCTGAGGGCAATAAAAATCCGTCCTTCCTGGCCAGCTTTAGGTAAATCAGACAGGAGTTCTTTCTATTGAAAAAAAAAAATCAACATAACATCAGGTTAATTATCGTTCTATAGTAAATGACTCAAGTGATTCAAATCCAAAGGTAAAAGTCGATTGCATAAGTATGAGTGTTCAAGTGTAGTCTTGAAAAGGACTTAACTCTGAAAAAGAGACTGACATTTCAACAAAGGAAAGAAATTTGTACAGCCTGAGCAAAAATCAACATCAAAGTCAAGTCATATCACTTCTCTCTTGTTGTGATTAGTGACTGTCATACCTTATTTTTCAAAAACCTGACTTGAAGTCTACTCAACCCTTTCACTACCAAGATCTTATTAGGAATTCTCCTTAAACTGTCTGCCATTCTCATTATGTTAGTTTAGAGAATTTGAAATTGGATAAAATAATAATCAAGACATGTAATTTATATTTTTCTTTATCCTCATTGCTTGTCTGCTTGATACTGTATTGATATAGTAAGGAGAAATTCTTTCCTGGTCACCCATGGGAGTTGAAGAGTTAAGAAGTTGATCTCTTACCACAGATTGCACAAGCTTAGCTGCATTATAATATGCAGCTTTATTGAGCTCCCCAGGGAAGGCGTCCAATGCTTCATGGATCTACAGTTTATAGTATAAACAAAACAATTTAAATTGTTTGGTCAACAAGAAGAAAATTCAACATCCTACAGGACAGGAAATGAAGTGACTGCTGCCTGGAAAATTAGTGGATGTGGTTCTTTACAAGGTTTGAAGTTGCACATTTTGTTTTAGGTTAGTAATTTTAAAACAAGGGTCTTCACATCTTGAAAGGTATAAAATTGTATCATCATCAACTTTTGACATATCTAAGTTATTCACAAAAAATTTCATAAATATTGAATGACTGTGGCATCATTTACCTTATGGAGTCTTTTGAGGAGCTCTGCAATGGCTTCAGTCTCTCTTAACTGTTTCACAAGGTCACCATGTTCATGAGCAGCAGCATCAAGAGGACCTTCCACTGTGCTCTTAAACAAAGAAAAACAAGGAGCAAATGCTGACAAAAAAATATATCATCTTAAATCAAATTCAACTTCCCAAGCCTTCTTTACATTCCCATTGTGGATATCACTGGAAGACAGGTGCATGGGCTTACATTTAAGTATAGTAATAGGAATTTCTTCTAAAATTACATTTACTTTGTTGCATCAAAAATGTAGTATAATGATTGTTTTATACGATTTGCTCTGACAAAGGGCTAATGCTCAAAACATCAACTTTATGGCGGCAAATTTACATTATCAACTCAGTTGATGAAACCAAATTATCTTGTAATACACCCCCACTCCTACCCTCCCCTCCTGATGCAGCACCAGTTTCTTTAAAAACTTACAACCTTACTCATTTGTCTGTTTATCTGTCACTTTTATGTGCATTGAGATATAACACAGTTGGAAAGTTTGACGGGCACTAAAGAGGCTAATGTTGTTATTGGCTGCACCTTCAGTGACTCTTGGCATCTTTTGTACCCAGCAAACTTCCTGTTTGCTTCATATGTCCATGAAAACACACTGATGTCCAAACAAATGGTTAATTGAATAACAAAACTCCCACCAACCTTCAGTCTGCCAAAAACATTTTGAATTTCAGTGAGAAGGTTGTTCACATTCCAGTTCATTTCAAAGGTTGAATTACAGAAGTCTAAAAATTCATCAAATGTATATTCCTTGTATATTGCCTGAAGGACCTCTGCCTGAAAGAGAGAAATATTTACTTGGATCATTAAGATGATAAATCAGTGTTTTTTCTTTGTAGTTGTAAAACTTTTGCCCAAACATTAACATCTGTGTAATCAAAAACCATGATATATCAACTTTTCCATAGAAATAAATTAACACCCCATTTTGAATAACTACATCCTATCAAAAACAATTCCTTTAAATTTTCAACCATCTAATTATTTGGAACTATGTAATTATAGGCTAAAATCATGATAAAATAAAATTTTCTGTATCTTTAATTTCAGAAAGGAAAAACACACCGAAGACTTGTGGTCAACTGTGCATAATTTACAAAAGCGGTCAAAATGCGATGCGGTCAAAATGTGGGAATAATTAAGACATAAAACTATGAGAAAAAAAATGGCGAAAATTAAGAAAAATATTACCATAAAGAGATAGGAATTGTGTCAAAAATTTTATAGCATACATAATTTGAAAAAAAGTAATACAAATGTATAGATAACGAATTGAAAAAGGGAAAAAAGAATATCGACCCATTAATAATTAGAAATTATCTTTTTTAATTCCCCCTCCACCAGATCTAATTAAAATGTTATGGATTGAATTGTATACAATCACTGATTTCTTTTGTATATTTTTCACACAATATTACATATAGATTGCTACAAAATAAATTATAGTGTTCCTTCACATAAATACACACACAAAAAAACAATAATCGGAGACACATAGTAAAAATCGATTGTGTAGGTGATCTTGAGATCAAAATTAGAAAACACACTTTACCTTCACTTCCTCTGCTTTCTGTAATGTTTTCTTAACACATGAGTTTATGTCTTCCTTCTCTAAACGAGCAGACTTCAAAAGCACATCCGTAACAAGACTTGCGCTCTGTTTTGGCTTTTTGTGAGTCGCGCTAGCTATAAAATTTTCCTTTTCCTCTACGTCCGCCATTTTGTTCTTGAGCTTCGCGCCAACAAATTTTAAATAAATAAGACGTCATGTAGGCCAACCAAAACTCTCCGAAGAATAACCGAGTAAAACCGAAAAGCTACGAAAATTGCCGAGTTTTGATAATCATTCAGTATTGTTTGAAAACGCGTGTTCCCGCCGTATTTATTATCCAGAAAGCTATCCTGTCGAGTTATCATGACAGAAGTGAGGGATTGCAGCATGGAAAGTGACCTAAAACGAACTGCCCGGCTGGAATACCTAAAATTAAGGCAATCCAAGCAATCAGAGAAAGTCGAAGCGGTGAAGGTACTCGGAAGTTACACTTGATCTCCCACAGACAACATTAAGACATGTGCATCGTTGTTGTCGCATGCAACAAGCTTATCTTTACTTTTAGTAACATGAAAATTCACTATTACCTCTGTAACAATTAATTGGGAGTTGGCATTTGTTTCTGATCTATTTAACCAATATTTTTTGATATAATTATTGTAGCAAAAGAGTGAGTTTTCAATGAAACAGATTTCTTCCACTGAAACAAGGTGAAATCAACCTTTAGCTACGGGTATTTTAATCTCTTTGAGAAAGAACTGCGCTCTCTTATGATTTTTTTATGTTAAAGTTAATGTTCTCACCTGCAGTTTGTATGCGTTTAAATTTTTCTTTATTTTTAAATAACAATTTCTCATTGTCAAGCAAGCTGTTTGTTTCATTTTGATGCGGTCATGTGATAATAGCGTACCGTGGAGGTCGAAATTATTGGAACCCTATAACTCTCATGGTCTGATTTATAGTTCTCTCCACTAGCTGCTACACATTTCCTTGTAAATAGCTACCAGAATTTGGTTGTTAGATCCAGATAACAACTAACCGATAAGTTTTAGTATTCTTATTGCCTGTTCACTGGATACAGTATAGATGTTGTAGGGAGAAGTTGCTTGTTAATCACTTGTGTGAGTTAGAGGATTGAAGGACAGTGAATTTACAACTTGTGAGTCAGTCATATGTTATTTCTTAATCAATAAATATTTAACTTGATTTTTTTTAATCTGCTATCTTTCAGACCTGTTTTAGAGACAATCAACAAAGCATCAGAGAGCAGTTGGTGAGGAGAAGAGAGCTACAAAAGGGTGAAAAGCAGCAAATGGTTCCATATATATCACCTGCTGAACAGCTTCCCTCCACAAGAAAGGTATGAAGAGTTTCAGTACTTTCAGTTTAACTGTGAAAGAAAGTATTGTGAGCATAATACCAGTAAAAATTGGAGGAAAATTCTGTAGCTGTTTATTTATCCCTTTGACTCCCAAGATCTCATTAGTAATTCTCCTTACTGTCTCTTATACAGTTCTTATGATGTCAGTTCAAAGAATTTAGTATTGGATCAACTTATAAGTCTCTAATCAATATTTTTCTATTCTTGTCACTTGTCCTGTTGATATTTTTAGGAGAAATTCCATTATGATCACTTGCGGGGGTGTAATTTCACTTCAAATTTGTGCTCTGGTGTTTTTTTTTTACCAGAGTTCTGTTTACTGTGGATTTGGACATGGTACTCAACATACAGTTTTAAGGACCCTGTATACTGTGCAGTCTCTTCCACAGTTCTTTACCTGGTCTCCTCTGCAGCAAAACTATATGGTAGGTGAATAAATCTTTCTGAGTTCAAGGTCTGTAGTGTAAGTTATGGAAAGAGTTTTGTCGACTCACATTTATGGCTCAAGTGTGAGAACCATAAATCTGAGTTGAAATACAATATTCTGTAACTTATTGCACAGACCAAGAAAATGACGTTAGTGAGATATTTCTTAAATCTCTGGGTTCGAATAGATTTCAATTTGAACAAACTTTTGAATAAACTTTTTGGGAGCCACACTCTGAAATGCAGCCAGCTTAATTGAACAATCATAACACACACTCTGAGCAAGAGATACTTGTATAATAAATATTTCTTACCAACCAAGCTCAAGATACATTCTGTAAGTTATGGATCAAGTTTTTTCCATTCCTTTTATAACTTACAGTGTGATCAGAGAAAAGGGGTTTTGTTGATAAAATTCTGATGGTATTTGACAAGGAAACCAGAATTCATTTTCCTGCATTGAATGCCATTTGCATCTTACCAGGTGGAAGATGAGACAGTCTTGCACAATATTCCATACATGGGTGAAGAAGTTTTAGACCAGGATGGATCATTTATTGAGGAGCTCATCAAAAACTATGAGGGGAGAGTTCACAACACTCCAGAACATGGTAAAGAACACTTCTTCCTAGATTTCATTTTTTGTTTTTAACTCTCTGACATTTCAATTGGCTCAAAAAGGACTGACTTTTCTTTCACAAGAATGTTGCCTTTTTATTTTGTGCAGTGTTTGATGAAGCAGCCCTCACAGATGATCTACTTCTACAGCTGGTTGAAGCGTTGAAAAAACACAAGAATTCTGCTAAGGAGAATGCAGAAAGTGAAACAAAAAAAGATGAGGAGAAGGAAACAACTGAAGTTACAGGTTAGTAAGTCTCCTTACTGTCTGCCATACAGTTCTTGTGATGTTAGTTTAGAGAATTTGGTATTGGATTGACTTATAATCCCCTTATTGATATTTTCTTTATTCTCATCACTTGTCTGCTTGATATTGTATTGATATTATTAGGAGAAATTCTATCTCGGTCACTCATGGGAGTTAAAGGGTTAATTACCTACAGTAAATCATACTGGTAAGAATACAAGCTGAAAAGGTTAAAATCAGAAGGTTGTGTATCCCACACAACCTTTTAATCAATTAAAGACAGTTGATTCCATTGGTGCACACTGTGAATATTTGTGTTCAGTTTGAGGCAACATACCCCTATAAACCCTTAAAGTGATCAGCATCTGATTTCTCCTCACATTAATACAGCTGAATTGTTTATTAAGGTCATGAGAATAAGGGAAATGATCACCAACCTAAGATGCTTTGATTATTAACAAATTCTCCTTGTCAGCACTAAAAGAAATATGTAGAGAAGAGTATAGAGAATTTGGATACTGATGTTTGGGTGTAAAGGGTTAACTTTTAAGTATTTGTCATGTTCATCCCCATCACAATGCAAAAAAACATCAGAATAGCATTTCAATTCTAGCAGTATGCATGCTGTTCGTCAAATGAAACTGGTTTTATGGTTGAACCACCTACAGTTTTCCAAAGCATGGTAAAAGAGCTTGTGAAATGGTATTTTGTTCAGCCACAGGTTCCATTCTTGCTGGGAGCACTTGAAATTTATCTTTCTCCTCATGTCTCTGAAAAAAAAAAATTATTGTTCAGTTGTAAATTGGTGTTGATAACTGCCAACCTCCTGCAAATTGCATTTTACTATCGTATAGACCATTACCAGTGTTGGGCATTGTTATGGTAGTTATTTTTTTAACAAAGAATTCTCTTTATTTTACAGAGGATGATTGTTTACCAAAAGATGAAGAAAAACCACCAGAAGAGACAGGGGAGACCCACGATGAACTATTTGATGCCATAGCATCTCTGTTTCCTGATAAAGGTTTAACTGGTGCAGAAGTTTTCCGAAGGTAAACATCATATTTTGGTTTAAATTTTTTTATCTTTCTGGGTTTCAAGCTCTGGCAAGGGCCATTTTGTTGTATTTTCAGGCAAAATAATTGACTCAGACAATGAGCAGAAAAATAATGTGGAGCCTGGCTGTGTCCACATGGTGTGTTCTTGGGAAAGACACTTCACCCTTGCAGTGCCTCTCCTTAACCCTTTAACTCCCAGATCAAATTTGTAATTCTCCCTTCTGTCAACCATACAATTCTTATTATGTTAGTTCCATGAATTCAGTATTGGATCAACTAATTATTCCCAAATTGGCATTTTTCTTTATTCTCATCACTTATCTGGTTGATATTGTGTTGATATTGTAAGGAGAAATTCTGTCTTGGTCACTCAAGGAAGTTAAAGGGTTAACCCTAATATGGACTGGCATCCCATCCATGGAGGTTGCAAAAATATGGTAGTCCTGTCATATTCCTTAAACAAGGGTCAGTTCCAGTAAAATGAGCTCCTTGGCTTAATAAGGTCAACTCTGAACTCAAGCCAAGCGCCCGATCCAGCCAGAGCTTGTCCTGGTGTCCTTGGCTTGAATTGGTATGTCCCTGAATGAGATGCCAGTCCATTGTAAGGTTGCCCCTCAGCTTTTCATTGGTCTTCCCTGACAATTTGCTGCTACCCATTTATACTCTTTGGTGGAGCTTTTGGGAGTCCAAATGCACTAACATTAGGCTACCCTTTCTGGCTTGCTTTTGTACTTGAGTTTTTTGTACTGGACTTGTTTCTGCTATTTTTCTACAGATACAAGAATGTGCTGGATCATAAGAATGGGGAATTACCACCAGAATGTACTCCAAATATTGACAGGTTAGGAAAGCAATCAACTAACACTTTATATAAGATCAGCAAATGAAAAAACAGTGTGTCTGAAGTGTGTCATGTGGTTGAAATTTAATGTTATATTCCTTGGTAGAAAAGTCCTTTGTCATGGCAATTATTTTGTATGATCTACACTGTAAACTCTTTAACTTCCATGATCTGATTTTTGCACATTTCTTTATAAATTAGTTATGAGAATGTAGTGTTAGATCAAGATAAAAACTTTAACCTGATAAGTTTGATTAATCTCATTACCTGTTGGCTGGATAATTTATGGATATTTTGGGGAGAAGTTACATGTTAATTACTTCTGGTGGTTAAAGTGTTGAGCTTTTTATATTGGCTGATTCATGACATGTCATATACAAATTTTACTTCAGATGAGTGGTTTTACTCTTTCCTTCTTTTTTTAGTCCCATGGCACAATCTGTTTCAAGAGAACAAAGTCTGCACTCTTTTCACATGCTGTTCTGCAGAAGATGTTACAAGTATGATTGCTTTATGCATGGTAAGCAGAGCTGATCTTCATTGCTGTAATAGTTGTTATTATATGGCAAGACAGTCCTGAGGTAAATTGGACCATTCTGGTCCATTC